AAATTTTAGAACATATTTTCACCTCTCTTCAAAGTTTAAGGATTAAGAGACAGATGATCACACAAGTCTCCTTTGTAATTTGCTACAACTAGCCGTAAGTTTTAAGGCAGGAGTAATCTGCCTTTGCAGCTGCAAGGTACTTTTATGCATAGGAATAAATTACAGATCACACATACCTTAAAATGCAAGCAAGGCCTTTCCCAATATAATTTGCTGTGGCTCCAGATTCTGCCTCCAGTTTTTAAAAAATTGCTCAAACAGCTGCATGTTTGATTGAGATCAGGCTCTGGATTTATTGTTTTTTTCTGTCCCAAATACCAGTGATTTCTTTACTCTGTAGGATCAGGAATCAAGACTTTTGGATCTTCCCTTTTGAACTCTTATATTTTTGGGTTTTGATAGGAGTGGGAAGTTCAGGAATGGTCTATTTTTTTTCTCTCTTTTCTTGGACTGCTCACGAATTTCCTTTGTTCCTTTATGTCTTCAGCTAGAAAAGGCACTCACCCCTGAGACGTTGTTACAGTGGACCAATCCCAGCATGATGGCCAACACCAAAGTGAATGTATTTCTTCCAAAGTTTAGTGTGGAAGGTGATTATGACCTGAAGCCACTTCTGGAAAGCCTGGGAATGACAAATGTCTTCAATGAGAGTGCATCAGATTTCTCTGAGATGTGTGAGGCAAAAGGTGTGGTTTTGTCAAAGATCATCCATAAAGTCTCTTTGGAAGTAAATGAACAAGGTGGCGAGTCCCGAGAGGTACCAGGATATCGGATTCTGCAACACAAAGATGAATTTAAAGCTGACCATCCATTTATCTTTTTGTTTAGGCACAACAAAACCCGCAATGTGATTCTTTCAGGCCGATTCTGTTCCCCTTAAGCAGGGCGTATTCATTGTGAAAAAGCACAATTACATTTATGGTGATGCATGTTCCTGTAAAGCTTGGCATCCTGACTATCACCTCTGAAAGGAAATCTGAGAGGTTCATATATCAGCTGGGTAATACAATGTACTCTACATATGCAGCAGAACTAGTTTATCTCCTTATGTTTCATCCCCTTAAGCTGAAGGATTCCCACTGTGAAGAACACATCGTATTTTACGGAGAAGTATCCCAGCCTCAGCGACAAGTATATTTTGTTCCTCCGTGACATCTTTTTCCCGGAACAAAGTGGACTGAGAGCCTGTTTTAGATAGACCAGGAGCTGGAAAGGGCTCTGGGAGGAAGAGCTACATTCCTGCTCCCTAGCCCAACCACTCACCCTCGTGACCCACACTCTGTGGACTCCTAATGCCTAGAAGGGGAAGAGGTGGACGTGTGGTGTGACAGCCCTCCCCTTGTACCTGGCTATGCTCTGCTAGCCCAGGGTGCCCTCCCAGACCCTGCCAGTGCCCAGTGACCCAGTGCCCGAGTTCTGCAGCATAGCTAGGCAATTCAGGCTAGCGGCAGAGCTTGCGTCTCTGAAACAGCAGCTGCACTGAGACCTATGGATGCAAGAGGCAGTAATCATGGTGACAAAATATATGCCCGGAAGACTCCTCAGCGTGAGCTACATCACTGCATAGATGGGGGAGGTTGGACACTGCTGCGTGGGATTTTTTGACTCATTGTCCTTCAGACATGGAAGATAGGACCAGTTCACTGCAGCTGTGAGGAGCCCTGTTGTATATATCCTGAGAAAAAGAACGTTATGCAAGTCTAGGATAGAAAACAGTTGGATTAATACTGGAAGTGCCACACTTTTCATGCAAAGATTATCTGCCATTTCTAGTTCTTGATTCAGCATTAAGGAGACTCCATATAATTACTTAAATGTCTGAGGCATGAAAAAGAAATAAGGACTTCAACTTGAGTAAGATTAACATCGTAATTACCAGTCTCCAAATTCCATATGAAGTCATGGTAATCAGATTTCATTTCTATCTAAAGACTGCCTGCTGCATATGTTCAGTACTAGTTTACCTAATTACTGTTCAAAATAAAACACTATAAAACCCGTGTCAAATGTCTGCAACACCTCCAGCATCAGTCTCTGTGTTCAATCCTGTGTGTTCACTGACACATTTAGTTTGGTAAAAAACTAAATCAATGTCCAGATTGACCTTCTGGACCACATGATGATAGTTCCCAGTAAGGATTACGTTACTAGATGGTCACAGTACACAGAAAATTCAATTATGTATCCTCAAAAAATGGGAGCCTTTTATCTGAGAATTCTTCTTGGTGCTTCAGGCCTGAAAGAAACTGGAAAGAGATTTCTAAATGGGAATATGCAATGCCTAATACGCATAGTACTCTTCTAACGCCAGAGATCAGCGCTGTGGTTATTGTGAATTTGGAGACAGGAGTTCTGTTCTGATTCTTGGCCTTGCCAACCCACGAGAAGCCTTTAGTCACAATGAGCCAGTGGTTTCACCAATTTCCTACCTTCTGTGGACCTTTAATGGGCTCTAACACATTTTAATACCAGAGGGTTAACTGAAGTCATTGGCCCCTATCTTTGGAGATACTGAAGGGACAAACTCCCTCCAGAAACAATGGGAGGTGAGATCCTGCAGACCTCTGGGGGTCTTTCCTGATATGTGTCAGGTGTCACGATAACATGGATAGTAGTCTGAAGAAGAATGCAAAATATAACAATTTCTTTTCAGTCCATCCTGTCTGAAAAGGAATTGCCTGCGAAGATCTTTACCAGTTCAGTAACTTCAGTGATAGCTGAATGACTGGGAAATGTTTTATACACCCTGTCACTGTCTGATCTATTTTGGAGGCTGGGATCAGAGTTATCCAGAGCTGTCGTCGCTGGTTTCTACTGGTTCTTCTGTAGGAGGTGGGTCAGGGCATTGCACACGGGGTTGCTGACTGACCAGGCAGCTCCACAGGCAGGCCATACCTAGGCAAGATAGACTAGTTGCCTATAGTCTGTACAGTTTGTGTCTGAGCACTGACTCTTTGTCAGGTAGTTCCAGTTGTCCAGCAGCCATGTCACACTTATTGCTACATCTGTGCTGGTCTTCTAGACTGATAAAAATCCTCTGGCAGATTGCCCCATCCCTCTTTTTCTGACTGGATGAGATTTCCTGAAGGAGAAAAACTCAGACATTACTCTCTCAGCTTTTTCAGGTTCTGAAAACATTCCAGTCCAGGAGCCAGTCTACATTCAGTGGAGGTCATACTTTGTTTAAATGCTGACCAGAGCACTTAGCACATCCACACAAATTTATGTAAGCACATCTTCTCAGAGAGTTCCTTGTGGTAGCTTTTCCAGGAAGGGTTATCCCATGAAAGCAGAGAGAAACACTGCCTTGGGGTGGGGCACATCTTTCTGCACCTCCTGACTAATGCCAAGGTATCCCAGCCTATGCAAGGCAAGCAGATGTTAGAGATACAAAGCTGTCTTAGTCTACAGAAGGCAAGCCCATTTATGGGTCATTTATACACAGGGTAGCTTACCCATGAAAAGCTCAGGTTCATTTTTCACTTCTGCCTCTTCTCTCTACCACTCCCACTATGAAGCCTATCCATCTTGCAGCAGGTGAGGGAGAAGTATCAGTGAAGCTCCTGCTGCTGTGAGAAATGCTGTTACAGTCTATTGCTCGGTTCCACCCGTGCTGTCCTCTGGGCCTTGGGCAAGAAATTGCATGGGAGGACATGGGAAAACGTGTGTGGGAGCTTGTGTATTACGTGCTGAAAGGTGTTGGTTACAATGGAGAAAGTGAACATAGCTGAGGACTTGCTCAGATCACCAAGCTGCTCCACCTCACCTTTCAACAGAGCATTACTATTCAGTGATGGGTGATGGCCCTGATGGAACAAAGCAAGTTGTGGCTGGCTTTTGCAGGCAGTTGCAAATGTCAGTGTTATGTGTCTAGTCATCACCTCACTTGCTCAGATGCACAGTCATTGCCCACTTCCTGCTCCCAGTATTTTGTAGAAGAGAAGGGGTACCTCTTAATGTCTTGTGGTAACCTCTTAATGTTTTGTTTGTGGGGAAGAGCAGTTTGGTTTTGACACTTGAAAAATGCTACATAGAGCCAATTGGCCCCACTGGAAAAGCAGTACAGTTTTGAACCCTGAATATACTATCCTAAGGGCCTAGAAAAGGCAGAATTTGCACATACATTGACATTTCCTGAGGCAAAGCAGTTAAACTGATGCCAAGGAAGTTCTGAGGGAATACGTGTACAGAGCAAGTAAAATAAATTAATGGAGGAATTGTGTTAATATAGGAGGGAGAAAGCACAGAGATTGGAAGAAGGGAAGTCATGAAAGGTACTAAAAATACTTAGAATGTCACTGAAAAGAGGCTAGGACTCATAAAAGCAGCAGAAGAAAAGATACATGATATGGCAACGTGCAGAAATAAATTGAAAAAAAAAAAAACAACAAAAAACAAACAAACAAAAAAAACCCCAAAAAAACAACAAAACCAACAAAAAAACAAACAGAAAAAGAGACAGAACTGAGAAGGAAGACTAAGAAACACAACAGAAACATTCAGGAAGGAAAAAGAGAAACAAAGAAGTGAATGGCAGATGGAACTAAAAAGAAAAAAAACGAGGAAAAGAATAGGGGTAACAAGAACACTCATTTTATCATTGTATTTTGCATTGTTTACAAATCCCTCTTTTTGGATGGGCACTGGAGCCTGGGCAACTGGGCTGAGACCTTGGCAGAGGAGCAGGGAACAGCAAAGCTGGTGGGAGCTGTGCCTGAGGAAGAGGGTGGCCCAGCTTCAGCACTAGAAGGGAAGTGTGGGAAGGGCAAGATGGTGCTGGGAGACCTTCTTCCTCTTTCCTCCTTCCCCATTCACCATGTCTGATCCCTCAAATATCCTATGAATCCAAAGCCAGTTTTATGCTTTGTAGGAAAAAATAAGAGGTGAGAAAGGAAAGACAGAAAAATTTCAGGGCTGCAAAGGCACATATAACCCTAGAGAACTTAATTTTTACCCCTGAGTCCAGCTGCCATAACCCAAGGTTGCACCTGAGCTAAGTGGTGCCAATCTGGGGAGATCAAACACTGTGCTGGTGCAGTTCCATGCTTCCCATCTCTTTACTTCCCTCTCACTTTATGCTGGAGACATAACCTATGTCATCAACCACTCCCGGCCTTCTTTTATTCTTAACTCCAGTGATTTAAAAGAATACCCCCTGGCTGGGGATTCCTGTTACAGTTCAAGGAAATACTTGTTTCCCCTCTCTAATTAAGCTCCTTCCATACACATAAAGCTGACTCCCTACCTGAGAGAGAGAGATGGCTGTAGGCAACATAAAGCTCATTCATTTCCCATTCATTTGCTCTGTATCTGCAAGCAAGCTCTGCTCCAGACAGGGCTTCTCTGAATCCTGGCGTGAACCCTGCACACCCCTGTGGGCAGGCCAGACCCCGTCAAATCTGAAAGGGACTACACACAGCAGTACAGCCACGGATCTCTAGGGTTAATGCCCAATTTTCCAGCTGAGGGTGACTTGGCATTGCAATCAGCAGATGTTGCCAGCAGATACCGCCTGCCAAACTTGTTGGGCAGCTATGAGAGAAATACTATTAGCATATTGCTAGATATAGGGGAACCAGTCTTCTGCAGCAAACTTCATGTTGATGGCATTTGCATTAAATTGCCACATACTGCTATCATCAAGTGGTTAGAGGCTGAACTTTCCCACAAGAGAGTGCAAGATTTTTGTAATAGAGTATTCACAAGAACGTGCTCCCGAGATCAGCTGTTGTGCTCTTCATTTAACCTCTTCAGGCAATAAGGTAAACAATTATTTTTATTTTTTTTTTTTCCCCAATAACTTGTGATTTTTTTTTGGCAGATCCAAAGCAGTTTACAGATTGATAAAGTAAGCAACATGTTTACAGATGGGACAGAGGGGGGAGATACCTTTACAAGCCGCAGGCAGCAAAACACACTGCTAAAATTCAGGCTCAAGAGTTCACACAAAGGGAGCTGGTCTTCAGTGGGACATAGATGGGGAATTTAGGAACACATATCCAAATCTATGAATGTAAAGATTCTTGCCTAAATTTCACAGATCTCTGAAGCTGAAATTTCCTCAGGACATCTCTGCCCATCCAGAAAGCTCTAATTACCACATGACTGATCAGATCAGTGGCTTATACCAGAAAGTAGAGGCTTTTCTGCCTGTATCTCCAGAAGGGCTGAAGGGCAGGCTCTTTCAGAGCACCTCTACCCACTTGGGTAGAAATGGGCTTCACATGAAGTGATGGTGCTGTTGGCTTGGGCAAACTCACCTACAGAGTGGGAGATACAGGTTAATTTCCCTTCTTTACTCAGATTTCCATGACACAAGAAAAAGCCTTGAAATGGTCACTAGAAGAGAGAGAGGGCATGGAATTCTTTGACTGGGTGCTTAGGCGTTTCCCTGTACCCTGATCCCTGCTGCTGGGGGACTGTTTATGTTCTTAAAGAATGACTATATAAAATAGGAAGGGTGGAGTGGTATTCAGATTTTGTTTTGTTAGTGGGAGTGCTAGTCTTCACTATCAACATATTAGCTCTTGGGTTTGGCAACGACGTTTAAAAGCCTGCTGAGAAGCCTGTGCAGCTGCACAGAGGCATACCAAACATCTTGCCACTGTACAGCCTGTAACAGGCCAAGGTACATCCATGACTGTTCATGCAGGAATAATTGGCCTAGAAAGAAGTGGAAAAGATATTGTAAGTACTGATGCAAAATAATAAAAAACAGTCAGGAAAAGCCTGTTCTGGCATAAAAGTAGCAGCCTGAGAGGCTAAATTGTTTGGAAAATGAACTTGGTGACATTTCCCTCGAGAAGTTATTTTGTACTGAAATGTATTGATTTTTAATTTAAAGCATGTTACTTTGGAAATGCTTTGTGTCACATAGGGATGATTACAATTTCTGTGTTGTAGGGAATTTCATTTCTGTTTGTCACTTTCACTCCAAATCATCACAGAAACACTTGGAAATGTCTTTTTTTATGGATGGTCATGAAAAATAAGAAAGTCACTTCTACCAACCACTGATTTTTCATGTGAGGAGACAGTACAATCTGGCATGTGCTCCTTTTCTAGGATAGACACATGCCATTTCTGCCAAGTCTGTCTTTCTTTGTGCATGAGAAGCGAATGTGCATTAAAGCACCTTAATGGGAGTCAGATTGAATAAGTGAAACATGAAATGAGAATAATCATGTGGCATCAGGGAGAACAGGTTCCTTCTTGCTTACCTTGTATTAAATACAGAATTACCTTAAAAACAAGGCTACAGTGCTCTTAGCCTCTCCACCTTATTTACCGCCTCCTCTTGTTGACTGCATAATATAATCTAATACACCTATTAATTACGATAGTTTTGAGCACAGCTTTTTATTCTCTGAGAGCTTTTGTCTTTATTTCATCTACCCTTAGCTGAAAACGAACTGTAAAGAGAGAACAGATCATGAATAGTTCTAGAAGAGGAGTGTTCTTCATTTCACAGAGCCATGGAAGAAGTTTGTCATCTGTACAAGGTCTCGGGTATACAGTGGTTTCTTCTGAAGAAAGCTCTTTCCCTGGGTAGCTTCTTTCTCACGTATAACAGCGCCAGCAATTTCCATCTGACAGACTATATTAAAAGCTACTGAACCATCGTGCAAAGCATCTCCCTTCATCAGCAGTAAAGCCCCAACCCTGCTTGCTGCCTGCGCCATTGTTAATGTTCAGTGCAGACACTTTGGCTAGTGCAGAACGGCAGCTATGATCTTCCTGGCACACTTCTTCTGATCTTATATCTTCTCTCCTTACCACTCCAAGACCTTTTAAAAGTAACATTACCATTTGTTGTTCTCCGAACCCCACTGTCCTTGCAGTAACTCCAAAACTCTCACTGATTGAATGATTACATGGATTACACACATGGCTTTATGGTGTGGAATCATTCATACACTTGTGCCTGCACCAATTTAGATTAAGAAAGCTTACTAAAGCCTTTCAATCTGCAGTAAGAAAGTTTCTCCACCAGCCCACACCTCCCCTCCCTTGCTTTGGGTTTCCAGGGCAGCTCTCTAAGTAGTTCCCACTCACAAAACCACAGAGCTGGCCATAGTGTTTGCACCTGAACATCTCCCTGAAGACAGCCTGCTGTGTTTTCTAAAGGAGTGGCTACCTCAGTACACCAGGCACTCACTTTTAAAACCTGTTCCCAGCTCCTGGGCTCTCCCTCCATGCTTGGCAGTCAGTTCTCTCCCTGCAGGGTAGGGTGGAGGTGCCTCCTTCCTAATGAGGAAGTTTATTAACTCTTTTTTTCTCCTTGACTGGTTCGGAGGTTTGGGCACACCTACAATACGTCTCATGACCTACATTTGTGGTGAATGATTTCACAGCTCCAGTTCAGATCTTTCAAGAGGTGTGGAAGTGAAGCAATAGAAACTTCAGCACTAAAGAAGCACTGAGTTTTGTTTTCAGAAGCTTCTGGATAGTATGTAATAAAGGTAGAAGAAAATAGAAATTATTATTTAGTGCAATGTCTTTTTCTTGTGGTAAGATGACTGTGTTATTAAAAGGAAAATGAAAACCGTGTTTCATACCAAGACACAAACAGCAGAGCTTAGAACAGCTGTTTTCAGAATTAATGAGATATAGCTCATCTTTACTTTGTTTGTTCAGAGAACCTTTTGAGTATTTCTCCTCTGTTTTGCCCATTTGTAATAGGTCTTTATGCTAAGTACTTTGGGACTTCAGGGTAAAACAAACATCTCAGTATGAAACATGTATGAGCTTTTTCTTTCAGCATTGCAGATTCTTTCCACAGAGTATCAGTCAGAAACATGATGAAGCATTGATTATTGTTATGCTTTTCAAGCTAGTCAAAAGGTCAAGAAGCGCCTGCATTTGCCACATGTGGCACCTTCATATATTCAGCAACTTGACTTTTCAGCTCTTCCAAGCCACTGCAGAAATCTGTCTTAGGCTAAGTCTGCTTTCCTGGGGTCTAGAGTTCATTCCCATTGTCTGGCACTTGCTGTGGGCTAAGATGGCTTGACCAGATAAATGCTGCATCTCAGCTGAGCCACAACAACTCCCAACACCCTGGTAACTTCTGGCACCTGAGCTCCAGCTTTTCATGCAAAGTTTGTGTCTGGCTCATGGCTGAGTGAGAGGTAGCATGCATTTTGCATCTTGAGGACAACGCAAGACATTTTGAGTAGCTCTTTCAGTAAAGAGAACTCTGGGAAGGTCAGGCTTTCTGTGAGGAGAGGACTGTGGCTGTTGTAGAAGAGCTTGTGCCTTGGTGGGAGTGCTGGGTGTCAGTAGAGCATTGGCTGGAAGGGGATGGATGTCCCCATCACCAGGCAGCCCCTTCCCAAGAAGGCCCTCGACCCCTCAAAGGGGCTGCTGGATGCCAACAGCCCAGGACAGGCTGTACAAGGGCTCAGCTGGTAAAAAGTGCTGAAGTTCAGCTTTGCACCAGCCTTTCTCCACCCTTCTGGTGACGCAGGCTGGAGCTCCTCACATAACTTGGCCTTGTAGGCTGCAGCAGCTGGGCAGCACAGGGCTGAGAAAGAGCGCCTGCTCTGCCGTGGCCTTCTGTGGGCGGTGGGAATACCCACCCGGCTGTTCACTCTCCCATCTTTTCAACTGAGAGGAGGTCTGGCAGCTTGCTACGGACCCGACCCGTGCTCGTCCCAGTGCAGGCTGAAAGCTGGAACCAGCCAGATCTGTGCCGCGGGAGACACGAGGGCCTGCTCTCCATACTGTGGCTGTGCATTTTCCCCTAAGTAAAGCACCTTTCTGGATCACCAGCCACAGCTACTCATCTCTGTGTCTACAAGCAAGCAGGTTTGTATGCTTTGCTTTTCACACATTTGTGGTGTGCTGTCCAAAATATCATTTGTTTGACACTGAAAGTGATGTGGGGTTTTTTGGGTACAGTGATTCCAGAAAAGCTCATGTGATCCCACTGGTACCCACACAACAGTTTTATAATTCTTCTCCTAAGGGATAGGAAAGGAGTCTCTAAACCCATTTTTTTCTTTTTCAGATGGCCTCCTGCTTGCAAGGACCAAGCTGGAACTTGGTCCCAATTTGTTCTTAACAGAATGGATTTAATGTAAATAACCTGTGGGAAATGTATCAGATTGTAATGTTTCTAGTACAAAAGGAAAGAGTGACACAGATCTTGTCATATCATTAAGCAGAAATGTGCAGACTTATTTTCAGGGCTGTTGAACAGTTTCTTTGCTTGAATTTTTTAATTGTGTCTCCTGCTTGACTATGTGGCTCCTGGAAAAGTCATGAAGAGGAAAAAAGTGTATTTCAAAATGTTCGTGTTTCCATATGTAGTTCAGTCTCCATAGCTGTTAATGACATTTTTTCATATATGAAAACATATGATTAACAGCATTTTTATTTTTATAAGCCTGTTGTTTGAAACCTTCATACCACAGCTGTGGTTACCAGACATGGTTATATGCAGGAGTAGTTACTGTCACCAAGTTTCTGTCGTATATGTTTCAAGAGGAAAGAGTTGACATAACTGCATACATCAAACCAGTTTGGAGAAGGAAGATGTTAATCCACAGTTGACTGATTTCAATACCATGATCTGAAATAAGATACACAATAGTATAAGACAGGAAAATGATCCTTTCTGAGGAATTCACGTATGTTCTGAGCGTGGGTCCCTTTTCCAAACCCACTGTGTCCTTGCTCCTGCTGTGTATCATAGACTGACAGATGTGTGCAAGGTTGGCTGTTTCAAACTCTCAGAATTCATAAAACTTCTATTATTTAGCAGCCAACTATGCGACAATCTCAGGGCAGACAGATGCTTCACAGTGTGATCTAGCTAGGCACCAAGCTGCATTAAATTTCTTCTTTCCTTTGTGCCCCCAGTCAGCAGCTGCTTCATGATGGGCTCCATTTCTAGACCAGTTACTGAGTTTTGCCTTGATCTCTACAATAAACTCAACAGAAACGCAGAGGACACAAACATTGTCTTCTCTCCAATGAGCATTTCTGTTGCCTTGGCCCTGGTCTACCTTGGTGCAAAGAACAACACTGCTGCTCAGATAGAAAAAGTAAGTATTAATGAAACATGCCAAGATGCTTCCACATTGCTTGCTGTTCCCTTAATGGAAATGTTTGGCATCCTAGCACGACACGTGTGCAAGCGTGTTGTAGGAAACAAGCAGGAATACAAGCACAGATGCTGCCTTCACAGCTGTGCTTGGTGAGCTATGATCCTTGCCGTCTGCTTGTGTGAGTCGCACCATGCCCCCCTGCAGACCCGGGAGCATGGAGAGAGCTGAATGAGAGGAGGAGATACAGCACAGTGGGGGACCCTGGCTTTCCCCCAGCCTGCTGCCACAATGTCAGACTTTGTTTCAAAATTACAGGCAGGCGCTTCCTCTCCTGATTGCTATGAGAATCCTGAAAGTGTGAATCTGGGTGGGTAGTGGGGAGAGTTGCAGAAACCTGAAGAGATTGCACCTGGGTAGCTGGAAGTGTTAGCTCACTTATTGCTTATGGCATTCAAGAGTCAAAATGTCTCACCAGCAGAGCTCACAGGGACCCAGGTGGGCAGGGAGGAGGTGAAAAAGGCCACCCCTCCAATCCCTGCGCCTGTACTCCCCGCAGTGCAAGCTCTGCTTTCTACACTCTTGTTTGTGCCCATGAGCAGGGAAAAACCAACAATCTCAAGGCAGAGGTTCTTGTCAGTAGCTGGCTCTGTACTGGTAGATCTTCATCCATTATATCCTAACACTGCCACGTGCACAGTCCGGCTGCCTTCCTCACGGTTCCCAGGCTGCGGTGGGTTGACCTTGGCTGGCCGCTGCCAGGTGCCCACCCAGCCACTCTCTCCCTCCTCCTCTTCAACAAGGACAGGGAGAGAAAATAAGATGCAAGAACTTGTGGGTACAGATAGGGACAGGGACATCACTCACCAATTACTGTCAGGGCCAAACGGGGTCCACTTGTTTTGGAGCTGGCTGGAACCAGCTCTGTTCGACATGCGGACAGCCCCTGCTCTCCTTGCACAGAGGCCACCCCGGCAGCCCCCTGGCTACCATAACCTTGTCATATAAACCCAATACACAGGGAATCTTGCTTATTTTAGGAAAGCAATGAGGATCCGGTATCCTCACTAAAAAAGATTAAGTCTACGTATGATGCAACATTATTCTAATGGAGAAGCTGCTGGAAATTCTCCAGTGAGATATTTGCACATTAGAAAGAAGGACCGTTTTCCATTAAGAGCACTGTGGTTTTGATATATCTCCTAAGCTGATGCAAAGATTAAGAATGATTGCAAAAAGACAGTTCTGATGTTTTCAAAGAAAACTATTTTTATCTCTTTGCCCGAGGCAACTTTTTGTTTTGAAATTTAAGGCAACTGTAGCAATAAAAATACAAATGAAATGCAAACATTTTGAGGTAGTGGAGAATAACATTTTTAGAGATTAAGAGCAAGTTCTTCTTCATTTGCTAATATAAAAATGTGAATTTGAACATGGGTATACGAACAATTTCAAGTTTGTCATTTCAGCCTGACTGAAGCTGAGCAAATATCTTTCATAAATCTACACCATTTATCTAGGACAGTATAGCAAATCTTTTAAACAAGGAAAATGCTTTTATCCCAGTTACAGTGACTATAATTTCACATCTTCAACTGCAGGTGCTCCATGTCAAGAAAACTGCAGGAAGAATGAGCCTTGGATCTGATATTGAGAGCGCAGCCCCAGAAATGGGGCCAGAACGAAGCCAGGAGAGACAGCCTTCCCTCTTGCAGGTGGGTCCTTGGATGGGGAGCACCCGAGCCTTTCCTTCACTCCAGAGCAGGCTACCAGGTATAAAACCCTGGATCTGCCACTGGAGGGAGTCAGGATCACATGCACGGAGTCTGCCTAATTCACTAGGAAATGCCTGATACAAGGTGTTACTTTATTAAGGGCCAAGTCTTCCATGAAGTCAATACCAAAGCCTTCAGTGATCTCATCTGCAGGAGGACCAGGCTACAAAGCTTAGACTAGCTGGACTTAAAATTCAGTACAGCAGGAGTTAGCTCTATAGTGTAATCTAATTAGGATGCAAACTAACAACCAAAACTATATGGAGGAATTGTTATAAATGTTGTGTTTGTAATATTCCCAGTGTAACGGGGATGGGGACCTTAACCATAAAGAGTTCCAGGCGCTGCTGTTACAACTACAAAACCTTGGTGAAAGATATGTTTTAACCCTGGCCAACAATCTCTTTATACAACAAGGATTTGTACTCCAGCAGGTAAGTTACCTGTATCTGCTAACTGCTGTGGCTCTGACCTCAAGCTTCCCTGTAACTGTGATCCTCGCTGTTGTCCCCGTCACGTGTATATTGGAGCAGTTCATGTGCTTCTTGGAGCCTGTATCTCTTGGGGCTGCTGGAAGAGAGACAAGTGTCCACTTTCAATTCTTTTGTTAAAAGAAAAACCACCCGGTGGATATCAATGGCTATAGAGTGAAAATAAAGCAGGGGTCTGTTCGCTTTTGGCATATGTCTACACTGAGCCAGAGCCGTGACTGCAGCCAAAAATGGCCTGTTCAAACTCTCTGTGAGCTACTTGTGGGCTTGCAAGTGGCACGTCTGGGCAGCAGTAATCTTGGAGAGGGCTCATCACTGATGTTATACAGTTGCTGAGTAGAGCTACTGTGCTGAACTTCTTACTCCTTTCCTACTGAATGACAGAGTGGTCTCTAGACTACCTAGTATGGATAAATTGATAGTCACATCTTTGCTTTTCTGTCAATTATTTCTGTTGAATGATTTGGATACTTAAGCATTAAACAACACATCTTGCATCTTCTCTAATCTGTTGTTTTTATCTGGACCTCAGGTATGTGGTTCTCTGTGGGAAGACTTTCTTTGGGCTTTCTTTTTACTTAATTACTTCTTTTTTTTTTTTTTTTTTTTTTTGCATATGCCATAGAATAATTATCTCTTCTTCAAAGATTCTGTGAATAAACTTCAGATAGTTAATGTTTCCAAAATGAAATTTTGCCTTATGGAGTCAACAGGTCCTTCACCATTTCTAAAATAATTCTGAACCATTGATTTCTTTCAAAAAGGAATAAGTTCTTAACAGATTTGACTAATTAATAATTCCTACTTTGCTTTACAGAAATTTCTAATGTGTTCTAAGGAACTGTATGGAGCAATGCTGCAAACAGTGGACTTTCATGGTGCTGTTGAAGCTGCCAGAATGAAAATTAACACTTGGGTTGAAAGTGAGACACAAGGTAAAACAAAGTAAAACTATAGCCATACTATCACTGCCTCTTTACACTGCTTCAACAAAAGAAATTCCAGGGTATGAAAAGCAAAGACTTGTTCCTATATCTGGGTGTTCAGTCTTATGCTGTTTAAAGACAGTTTGCCTTCCCATCCACTCTTGAAACACTTGAGTAAGTTATCAGCTAAATTATTTCTGAATTAAAGGTGTGTTTGTTGTCAAAGAATTTTGTATTCTCACCCTTATGCTTGGCATGATAACTGCAATAATATCTATAAGGATTGACCAGACAAATTGCTTCCGTGAACAGCCACAAATGCAGATACAGGACAGCAGGGGATGGAGGCTGTGAGGTTCATGGCGGGACTGGGAACAGCCTGGGGTGGAGCAGGGAGGAGGACGACTGAGGAGCTGATTATATAGAGAGCAATGCCCACAAAGACAAGAGATGTGACCACCAGCAAGACTCCTTATCACAAGTGATAGTTCTTTCCCTTAATAGACTAGCAGGGGTCATTGGCTCTTGATGATCAGACTAAACATGATACATGCCATTTTCCTTTAGTTTTTGCCAGAGCTGCAGTATTACCAGGATGAAAATTTTCTAAATCTAGCTGAACATAAACCAGAGCTTACTGGGGGACAGGCAAACAGATTTGAAGGCTTCTGTAATTTCTCAGTTGCCCATCTCCTGACCAAACCTGTCCTTGTACTGACAGAGTGGCCTGTGACTGGTGTGGGGAAGAGGTGTTAACCCCAGTTGGCTCCCAGTAAGAGGGATGAAGGTTCAGGAACCACCTTGCACAGGGTTAGGAGTCATCGTTGCTCTGGGTGCTCATATGAAGCCTGTGGACCTGCTAACTCCTACTTCAGCCTCTGTATAGAAAGTCAAAAGTTCTACAGTTGGTTAACTGCTGTGCTTGGTGCGAAAGGAAAGTTGCCCTCATGTAACCCGAAGTATGTGATTTATTGTGCTGCCTCCTTCCCTGGGTTAATGTCACCTGGCACATACGTATGGTCACTGACAGTTGACTAATTTGGTGACCCCCACTCCCCACTGTCCTGCCTGGCTAGTAACAGTGCAGAGGAATCTACCATTTGTTTGCCTAAATTGTCCCTGTCCTTTGAATAAACCAAGAACTGGATTTCTAAGTTTCTCCAAAACTAAGTTCACAGACAGCTAATTAAGTCTTGGTACAGAGTCTTAATGACAACTAACAATTTACTGAGTATTCCAAAATTTCCTTTAGGTAAAATCAAGGAACTCTTTGCTCCTGGTGTGATCAATGCACATGCATTGCTGGTGCTGGTGAATGTAATCTACTTCAAAGCATCCTGGGAACACAAGTTTGAGGAACAAAAAACAGTACAGAGAGATTTTAAACTGAATCAGGTACATCTATATTCTGTAAATCTTAACATTATTTACCCTAGATACTGTGAGTGTTGTAGCAAGCATAATATCAAAGCACAATGTCCAGGGCTCATTTGGGTAAGGTGTGGGTGTGCTGGGAATTTAACCTGCGTCTCCTGTTGGGTAGAGGTGGCAGGAGGGTTTTTCACAGAAAAGCATAATCTGTACTGAAAAAATATTTAAGACTCAGAATTTGCAACAACTCAGAGTTTTGCTTTGGTGACTGGCAAAATGCAAGTGTTAGCCCTGATTAGCACTTTTGAACATACTAGTCATTACAAGTAGTTGTCATGCATAGAAAGCAGATCTGAACATCCCATTTCATATAGGCTCTAAGGGGTCATCCCAGTGTTTATAAGTTCAATACAATTTAACATTAGTTATGCATTTGAGAGATTAAAACAGACAAAACACACTAACCCAGATAGTAACAAACTACAAAAATGCAATTGCAATTTGAAAAAGGAGAAATTATTATAGGATATTTCATTTTTTTAATTGTATTTGCAACATTTGAAAGTTTATTTTAAATATATTTTAATTTTTAGCCCTTTTTTTCTGTGTTAGGGATGTCACCAAATCCTTCATTGTTTAACTAAGTTATTGTCAATATGGTTGCAAATTTATTTCTTTAACAAGCACGTTCCTCCAAGTATTGTGTGTGCCCTTTAAGTCTAATAGACATTATCAAAAAGACAGCCCAAAACATTTACTTTCATTTAATTCAGTTTTGTCTTCTTTCCATACTTGTGCCAGTATTCTGTTTGTTCTCATCCATAACAAAAGAAAAAAACCCAACAGATTTAAGTCTGATCTTAAGTTGCAGAGCTTTGTATGGGAAAAATTCTCTTCTGAGAGTTCCTCATATATCAAAGGAAAAGATCAGAAAAACATATATTTCTAGTTATTGTGTTGCATTCCACTGTTAAGACATTGTTAAGAAATTGTCATATTGGGTACTTACATCTGTGACTTTAAATATGTCTTTGATTAGGGATATTGGCAATGGTCTACAGCTGAGAACATTTGGTGCACTGCTGCAGTAGGAAAAACTAGAGAAGCTGTATAGATTTTTCTTCATATGATAGTCAATACTAGCAGGATTTTTGCTGAAAGTGTGTCATCTAACAAAAGTCTTCTTTCACCGCTTTAGAAGCTAGCTAAGAAGTTATCTAACTGTAAAAGGAAACTTGAACCTTTATAAAGCTTTCTGATAACCCCATCACATAAAAGGCAAGATAACAAGACCTAGAAGAGGATGCTTGAGAAATGCTATGATTTTGCTCTTAACCTATTTATTGCTTCCTGTCTCAACAATCAGTCTGATAAATGACAGCTTGATTCTTGCAGTGCTATTTTTTCAAAGAATTATCCCTTTTATTTATGCATGGCAAAGCTGATGTTTTGTGCGTCAGTGTAGATGCAACAAAATAAAGAAAAATGTTCAGCCTAACAGCAATTACTGCTGAAACCCTGACTACTGATATTACACCTATAGTAAGTTTAAATGTTAAGAGCTGTATTGCTTAAGTAACTGTATAATTTTCTTTTAAATAGAATGAGAAAAAACCTGTGCAGATGATGTATCAGAAAGGCACATTTAAATTAGGCTACATTGAGGAGATGAGTGCTCAGGTCCTTGAACTCCCTTATGCTCAGAAGTCATTGAGCATGATCATCCTGCTGCCAGGTGACACGGATGATGGATCTACCAGTGGGCTGGAGCAGGTAAGGCAGTATAGATCCTGGGCTGTGGCTGAAAGTTGTTTATCTGAATTAAGGCTGGGTAAAGACCTAAACTTTTCAAAGCTGCCCGCCTATTTTAAGCTCTTTTTCCCCCCCATCTTCTAGATTGAAAGCACAATGACCTATGAAAATTTAATGCTGTGGGCCTCTTCAGAGCACATGTTTGAGACAACAGTGGAGGTATACCTCCCCCGGTTCAAGCTTGAAGGCACCTTTAACCTCAATGAGGTATTACAAGAGATGGGGATGACTGACATCTTCACCGAATCAAAAGCTGATCTTTCTGCAATGTCGTTTGCAAAATCTCTGGTGCTGTCAAATGTTATCCATAAGACATACGTGGAAGTCAATGAGGAAGGTACTGTAGCAGCAGCTGGTACAGGAGCTGTAATTGTGAGGAGGTCTCTTCCTCTCACAGAGGTGTTTATGGCTGACCACCCTTTCTTATTCTTTATAAGACACAATCCAAGCAATACCATTCTTTTCTTTGGCAAACTTTGCTCACCTTAAAATCAGAACCATTTTCTAACACTGTGAGAAACACCTGGATGAAAATCAGAAATTGTACTTTTCCCCCAATTCATTCTTAATCCTTTGACATCTAGTTTGTATTTCAAAGTAATCACTACAACCAATTTAGCTTAGAACCCATCAACTGGATGCTCTGTCGCTAGGCTCCTTGAATTCTAAATATTGATCTGAATCCAGAACAGGAGTAAATATTGCCTTAAACTCACTGGATATAAATAACATTTTGTTTCCTCAGTGCCCACATATGCTCCTGTATTTCTGCATTCATATATGTTCCTGCATATTAATAATGGTGACAATAGGGTGGAGGTTAGATGGGACCTCTGGAGGTTGTCTGGTCCACCTTCCCTGCTCAATCCCTACATTTGGTTGCCCAGGACCATGTCCAGATGGCTTTTGGATATCTCCAAGGACAGAGACTCCACCACCTCTCTGGACAACCTCCCCTAAGTGCTCCTAAGTTCTCAGATGTCTCCAAAGAGAATTTTGTATGTACGATGTCTGCAGGAACAGGATACAAACCCACACATTTCTATAGATGGTTAATTATTTACATAGTAAAGAAGGCTGCCTTTTATACAGGGATAAATCAAGTGATTTCAGTCTCAAAGAATAGGAGGAAAATAGCCTAAAGCACCCCACTGAAATTACTGACATGGAAAACTGTAGCCATGAACTTCCAAGAGATGTGTTTTCTTCCTTGCATGTTGCTGTCTGGTGAATTTTAATGATCTGAGATGCAGATCTGAAAGTCAGGGCTCTCTCCATGCTCTGAGAAATGAAGAAGGGTTTTGTAAAGGGCAGTGTAAATCACAGAAATCAGTTGAACATAAAGTGGAAAGGTTTTTAGTCTGTGGGAGAAAAATAAAATTTGCCGCTGACTGACAAGGAGACATTACTGCTAATCTCATGGTTTAACATGAGTGACATATTCCTTAGAGGGATTCTGCATGAGATTTAACAAATTAACATTTGCAATGTGCTTTATGACCCATGAAAGGGAAAATATACATTAGCCATTCACCATATAATAATTGTGTGGAAAGCACACTCATGTTCTGCATTCATGATTACCATAGTTTATGCGTTGTAAATTACCTGGGGCTCTTTGGACAAGAAAATCTAGGAAATAAGTGTGAATGATAACTGAGCAAGAACAGACCGGGGCAGGAAAATAAACGAGTTAAATAAACAAACTGCTCTTGACTGTCTAATCTGAAGGTGCAGTACAGCTGCAGCAGTTCTCCAGGCTGTGTCCATGTTTCCCTTCTGGAGGCTGGCAGCCCAGTTTGCTTGTTAGATGATATTTTTGTTACCCGAAGCTGTCATCATCAAGTGTTTACATTCCCCGGGAAAATTCTGAGCACTGCAACCTCAAAAATCAACAATGTTCTTGAAAATGCAGGGACGGGGATTCCTGTGGTGAAGTGGCAAATGCCACAGGGGAAAAAACTTCCCTTTATTCCTGCCTTTTCTCAGAAATGAGTATACAGTCCCCAACCCCCAGCATATCCTTTTTTGGCACCCTTGAGTTAAAGCAGGAGTTTTTGACGACACTGTGGGTTAGCAGGGGGATGGATCTGCACTTGACACCAGTGAAGAATGAAGAACCTTAGCTGAAAGTGAAAGAAATAGAGGGGGAGGTTTGCAATAAAAGTCCCTGTTTAGCACCACCTAAGGTAGGCTGTTCCTGCCAGAGTACAAGAGACATGAAGATGTGTGGTGAGCCCTGCACAGCATAAGGAATGCGTCCAGGACATTTCTGGTACACGCAATAGCAGCAGTTTTATTACTGCCACAATCTCACGAGCTATGAAATTAAGACTAATGTCATGAAGGAAAAAAACATCTTTTTTTCACATTTTTTTTCCCCTCGGCACAAATTCTACTGAAGGCAGTTCCTCTCTCTGCCAATCCCCATCCCTGCAAACAAGGTCCAGTGCCTCTTCTCTCCCCACAGCTTGTAGTTCACCAGGGTGCAGGCATCCCCTTTGCAAATGATAAGGTTCAGATCATAGAATCATAGAATCACAGAATGGTTTGGGTTGGAAGGGACCTTAAAGATCATCTAGTTCCAACCCCCACTTTGTTCAAAAGTTGTTCAAAGCCCCATCCAACCTGGCCTTGAACCCTTCCAGGGAGGGGGCAGCCACAGCTCCTCTGGGCACCCTGTGCCAGTGCCTCACCACCCTCACAGGAAAGAATTTCTTCCTCTGTCAGTTTAAAACTGTTGCCCCTCATTTTATCACTACACCCCCTGATAAAGAGTCCCTCCCCATCTTTCCTGTAGTCCCCTTTAAGTACTGGAAGGCCACTATAAGGTCTCCCTGGAGCCTTCTCTTCTCCAAGCTAAACAACCCCAACCTTCTCAGCCTGCTCTCATAGGGGACGTGCTCCAGCCCCCTGATCATCTTTGTGGCCTCCTCTGGACCTGCTCCAACAGGTCCATGTTCTTCTTATACTGGGGGCCCCAGAGCTGGACACAGCACTGCAGGTGGGGTCTCACGAGAGCAGAGTAGAGGGGGAGAATCCCCTCCCTCGACCTCCTGGCCACACTTCTCTTGATGCAGCCCAGGATACAGTTGGCTTTCTGGCTGTGGGCACACACTGCTGGTTCACAGTCAGTTTTCCAACCAGTACTTCTCCCAAGTCCTTCTCCACAGGGTGCTCCCAACCCACTCATCACACAGACTATATTTGTGCATGGGATTGCCTCAAGCCACGTGCAGGACCTTGCACTTGGCCTTGTTGAACTTCATGGGGTTTGTATGGACCCACCTCTCCAGCCTGTCATGGTCCCTCTGGATGGCATCCCTTTCCTCCAGCATTTCACTGCACCATACAGCTTGGTGTCATTGGCAAACTTGCTGAGGGTTCACTCAATCCCACTGTCCATGTTGCTGAGGGTTCACTCAATTCCACTGTCCATGTTGCCTACAAAGATATAAAATAGCACTGGTCTCAACACCAACCCCTGAGGAACGCTGCTCGTCACTGCTCTACACTTGGACATTGAGCTGTTGATTACAACCATTTGAATGTGACCATCCAGACAATTCCCATCCACCTTTCCCTATCCACCACCCCCACCCACCTATCCAATTCCTATCTGATCCTTCAGTCAAATCTATGTCTCTCCATTTTAGTGACAAGGATTTTGTGTGGAACAGTACCCAAAACTTTGCACAAGTCCAGGTAGATGATGTCAGTTGTTCTTCCCTTATCCACCAGTGCTGTAGCCCCACAGTAGAAGGCCACCAAATTCATCAGGGATGATTTGCCCTTAGTGAAGCCATGCATTTGCTGCTCTGCCCTGAGTCCCTGGGGTTGGACTAAGTGATCCTTAAAGGTCTCTTCTGACCCAAACCCCATTCTACGGTTCTGTGTCTTGCACATTGGCTAGCTGGATTTGGCTAACTCCACTGAGCTGTGATCGGTTACTGATTTACAGCTGGTCAAACTAATTTATAGTACCCATGCTGTATCACAAAAAAACTGAGTTGATAAAAAATGGAAGATTTATTAGGTATTGTGTCTTAGACCTGAAACTTACATGCACATTTTAAAATCTCAAATTCTCCTGACTTTAATATCCCGTATTATATTTACTGAAACATGAAGGAACTGCTTTGTTTCCCTACTCCTTTCTGGAACTGGAAGTGGGAGAAACTCAGCTGTGATTGGAATAATGATTATTGGCATAATATACAATTTTTAAGCTATAAAGTGAAGAAATACTACTTCTCAGTGTTCATGGCCTGAGACTGAATTTAAAGACATGATCAGTGTTGAAAGTTTGACTTTCACAGTATCACTTTTAATCTTTTATGCTTGGTCTGAGCTAACTTTACATGCTGTGTCCTCTCAGTGTGAGGCAAGTAGTGGCAGTAGAAATTTACACAGTAAGCATCTGCCGCTCCTCTTGAAATTTAGCACAGTGCATTTGGGTTGCACAGTGTTTCAGCTTTCCTCTCCAAGCTGTGGGGCCACAGCCCTTCTTAGAGGATTAATTAGCAGCTGTGGATGCTTTGTCACATGGTGCTCATCATCTCCCTGAATTAGGTACTTGCTTCTTGCCTGGTATCAGCTGGGGGAAGGGCCACAATTTGGCCCTTAAATCACAAAATCAGTTGATACCTTATGAGCAGTGAAGTGAAATGCCTACCCCATAGACAACTATTTGTCTTATTCACTTATCTTCAAAGAGAATTAAACTACTTTAGAAGCCAATTCAACATGTATTTAAAATCAAATAAAGGTGGCATACTTCAATTTTCAGAGGAGTCAAGAACCTCAGAGGTATTGCTGTAGAAATCTTAAACACTGGTTTGACTCCTGGGGAAAGTTTCACCCTGAAGGCTAAAAAATAAACCAGAAATGGTTTAACTGGTGCACTTCAAGAGAGGCTGCGTTGCAGGATTTATTTGACCTGTTACTTCCTAAGCTGTCCTGTGGACTTCTCAGAATTTGGCTCTCAGTCATTTTTGGTTTTGGCCTTGGTGTTATGGATTGCTAGAGACTAATCTATTTTAGACAGAAACTCAGATAAGTATGGTAATTCCTTCTGATCATGAGCCCGAACATAGCAGTATCATTATTAAAAATACTAACAGTAATCAAATGATGTTTAGAAACAATCCTGTCACTGATTTCTTACAAATAGTCTTATCTCCCCAACCCTTCAAAAAAAAAATGTCTGATGCATTGTATAACTTCTAATTTCCAGTCTCCCTTCCAGTATTTATAAACTTTCCATCGCCTTTCTCATGGATCATCCATCCCACACTTCCAACACACATATGGAAGTACCAGCTCACTTTCTTGGATGGTTTCAGAAAATCATCCAGAAGTAACGCTTTGAATTCACTTATTTCTTTTTCAACTTCTGTGTCATACTATATTTTATTCCACTAGCCCAGTAGAGTCAACTTAGCAAGGTAAACATATAGTAGTGTCTGTCTACATTCAGATAATACCAGGGCTTGTTCCCCTTGAACAGAACAACAAGAGAGGAAACATGCAGTCTGACGGGTAGCTGGGCAGCAGTGCTACTAGTTAGCATCTTCTGGGTAAGACTCACATAAAGTGTTGTAAACACATTATCAGGATTAAAATTCAAACTTCAGCCTCAGTATGATATATATAATATAAATACAAGGAGAGAACTCAAGGACTGATAACTTTGTAGTTCAATAGCTGTATTGTAGATGAATTCTGGTTTCCAGAATCGGCTCCCAGGACTATTCTTGTTTTAATACACAGAAATACACAGGAAAAAAATGTATCTATATGTGGGCAAGTATCCTAACAATAATGATATAGAAGTATTTTGGTCTATATCTTTCTGGTAGCGTCATTTTTTCCTCAATTTCTTAATATCTGCTTAGAAAAGAAAATGGTGAATAAAGTACTTCAGTTGTGAGCTTCCATCCAGCTCTTCAGAGGGTGCTGCTGTGCAGCTTTTCCACTTGAGTCCTCAGGCATGAAATTATACATTCTTAATTATGAGACAGTGTGTCACAGCTCCTGTATAAGAGCACTGCCAGCCACCTACACAGCTCCAAGATTGTTTCTCATTACTCCCCCACTTGACTGCTACAGTTTGGAAACAGGGTCCAGCTTTTCCATACACTTATTGACAGTTTTAACCAGGCTGGAAGAGCACTACTGAAGGGCCCCTACTGCATTTTCTGATGGACGTCTTCTCCCACTCAACGCCTCGAGGGGCAGCCAGCTTTAGGCACAGCACCGGTTGCAGCCCGCAGCCTCGCAGTGCCAGGCGTTGCCCCACCTCTGCTCACACCCCTGACAGCACCTTTCCCAAAGAGACCCCCACTGCTGCCTGTCACTTCTCTCCCCTGCAATCCGTCGGCACAAAGCAGTCCCAAACACAGGCCAGCAATGACTAGTCCTGCCTTTCCCCCAGCCCCCAGACCGCCGAGTGCAAAATTATCTTACTAAATGGTAGAGGGGCAACCACAGAGGGGAAAGGCTTTCTCAATCCAGAGTCCCCCCAATCATATTTTCAGATTATATTAATGCAATTATTGTGTGATATCTATATGGAGGCTTAACTGCATTTTGCTCAATGGAGTCAGCTGCTGGTCTTCTGTGAGAAATGCGATATTCTGCCCAGAGCAGTGCTGAGTACAGTGCCTGTTGGACTAAAATAAACACAGTGTTCAGCCCACAGCCAGCCTTAAGACCCCAGGGGGAAACATTGTGAAAAAGCTGACTGCTCCTTGTGAAGCAGAACAGCCTCTGGGGTCAAAAGATGTGTAAGGGCTTTGTCAGTGTGGCCCCCACTTTCTTGTTCATGAACAATGGTGAATATGAAGGTTCCTGAAAGACACAACCATGGGCCTTTGGTGTATCTCCTGTACCCCCAGACAGGAGCAACCCCCCCTTGCTGCCTTTTTTGCTTGTTGTTTTGTGCAAGCCATCCAGAAGTGCAAACTGACAATGACAATAGAACTCAACAAAAGCCTCATGAATCCCTCATGCGTGCACATGATGCAAAACCATCAATGCCTCAAGCTCCCCACACAGTTCTGCTGAAACATGTGGGCTAGACGTAGGGGTTAGGAAACCAGATCCAAAGCTGGAGTGCAGAAGCAAATATTTTGAGCTGAGCACCTCAGCTGAAAGTGCCCCCATTGCAGTGTCTAACTCTCTGTGGTATCGTGGGGAAAATCCATGTCCAGCCTTGTAGGGGCAAGCAGCACCAGTCTGAATGAAGGAGTTGCTCCAGCTCAGTGCTCTTCCCTGCACATGACCAGCAGTGCTGGCCATACTGAGGTCTCCTGTGTGGGGCTGCTGGTGCCTTCACTTTAACCTCCTTTTCCTGCATGAGGTCAATGGGAAAAGCCTGTTCCCTAAAATTCTCACCATATGAGAGCATCCTGGTGCCAGGATCTGTTCCCAAAGATGTGTAACTGGGACTCCTCCTGCCCTCTGGACCAGGTCCTGTAGCACCTCTTTAGGCCTGCCACCTCCTCACCCGCAGGCCGAGAGATGCTCAAAAATCAGGTTGGGATGTGCTGCTAAAGGCCACCGTGTGTTCCCCCTGCTCTCTGGCTCTTGCTGACAGAGGAAGAAAACAGTGCCCAGGTCCCTGAGACAGACAAAGTGCTCATGCTGTGGCAGCCCCAGCTAAGCGTAGCCCCCAGGCAGAGAAGCTGCTGGGGCACAGACTGGATCATTGCACCTCTCTGGGAAGGCCTGGGTTGAAGAAGAAATAGCATGTTGTGTTTATGGATCTAGCTCTGTCATGTGTGGCAGGACTACCAGGGCTCCCCATGAGACAGACATTATCAGATGCACGTAAGTACTTCAGGGAGAGGGAGGGGTGCCCCTCTGAACGCTGTGTATCAGACTCTTATTTTCTGATTTGTTTCTGTTTCCTTCTTGCTGTTACTGTATGCTTTCTGCAGATGCTTGCCACGTCTTTGAGATAATTTAGCAGAGCTAGCTAATGAGATGTAGCAGCAATCAACAGGGTGACTCCTCTTCTGGGAGGAGAAAAAGATCTATTTCCTTCTTTCACTCCTTGTTTCAGAGAGTGAAAACCAGAAGAGACTGGATCATGTCTCCCACTTTGCCGTGGGGCGTGAAGAGCCATTCTGCTTGTACCCTGTCTGTTGACCCTTGATTTCCTGGGGCACTCTTCCTCTTCAGAAATAAACTGGGCAGGCAGCCAGACAACACTGTGGTTGGCTTCGATTTAAGACGGGGGCAGAACACCACCCTCCATCAGCGAGGAAGCTGTCAGAATCAGCTCTTCCCAGGAGAAGGTAACTTTCTCAGCTTCAACTTTGCTCAGGGTAGAGATAGTAATGGAAACAGAAGCTGGAGGGGAGAAAAGTGTGTTGCAGCCATGCACAAGGGCAGGCTTTGGTGTTTCTGCCTGCAGGGCTGACTTCCACATTCCATGGATGTGACAGTCCCAGGATGTAGGAAGTATGTATCCAAATTCTTTGCTCCAGTGAACAAGCTCACTCAACAGCAGCAGGGAATCTGATAATTCCCTTAAAAGGCAAAAGGAGATAAATGGCAAGGCAGTAATCGTAGAAGTGCTGGGACATGTGTGAACTTGCTGCCTCAAATTCAGGAGGCAGAGGAATGTCTTTTCACATTGTTGTTTGGCTATGTCTTGACAATCTAATTTGCTGGTATCTCTGTTGGTCGTTATCATGCAATGTGCTTCATGTTTTACACAATATACAAACAAAAAAAAGTGTCTAGTTTTTGTACAACATATTTCAGTGAAGCACAGTGCCTGAAGGTTGGCCCATGCTTCTAAACCATGTAGCTGCTCTTGCAAGAAAAACAGCATGTTGACTACGTGGCTGTATTTACACAGTGTACAGCCTTCAGAAAAAAAAAAATCAAGGGCATGAAAGTGAGTGTGGAGCTAACTGGAGCAGACTGTGGAAAAGCAAGAGTATGACTAAAGGGGTGATTTGCCCAGAGGTAATTGTTCATGTCAGGGTGTGGGGCGAACTTTGCTGTGAAGTGCTAAGTGTGGTCTGAAACCAGCTCCTGGATCGAGTCAGTGCTTGGGGTGCTGAGTTTCCTGAGAAAGGCTCTGCATTTCCAGTTCTCTCCACACTGTGTGCTCTGACCATGGCAATGTTTGTGAGGTGGATTACATAGCTGTCCTGTTGCAGGCCTTGGCCACACCACAATGGGCTCCCTCAGTGCAGCAAACACCAAGTTCTGTCTGGACTTCTTCAAAGAACTGAGCAAAGCAAAAAGAAATGAAAATATCTGCTTCTCCCCACTGAGCATCTCAGCTGCGCTGAGCATGGTCCAGCTGGGTGCCAGAGGCAACACAGCTGAAGAGATGGAAAAGGTGAGTTTCTTTCCCTTTTCTTGGGAATTGCTATTAGAGGCTTATATCTGGAAATGGAAAAGAGGCAGGAGACTTCTGGCAGTCTGGGCCATGTTCTTCACAAACAGCAAACCGAAAGAAGTGGCAACTGCTGGTCTCAGAGCTCTCCTTTCCAAACACCCTCATGTGACTTGTGGTGCCTGTGAGTCTCCAATGCAGCCTCAATGCGTTCTTTCTGTCTTCGCTAATCTATTTACATAGATTTATATTGCATTTATATCGCAGATGCTTCATATTCATGAGGCGCTGAGCATGGCAAGTTCAGGAACCAAGAGCACGACTGGAAAGGTGAGATAGTATCTGAGCTTTGTGATAACATTGGACTGTAGCATGAAACGAAGCAGGGCAAGGCAGACTTACCTGCTAAATGACAGCATTTCATCCAAAAGCATTGTGAGAGTAGAGTTCAGCCCCGTTCTCATCAAACTCTGAAACCTGTGTGCACATACAGAAGAGACCCCATTGCTTTGCTCTGTAAAGTGTTGCCAGGTTTAAATAGGATGATCCCTTTCCAAGGTGGAAATTATAGGAGGGGAGGGAGGCAAGTGTGTGACTTTGGATGGTCAGGAAGCCCAGACATGTGTTTGTGGGTCTTTGCATGCCCCTTGGCCCCACAAGTGCATTTGGGGAGAGTGACTATGATTTCAGCCTGAGGGCACACAAGTGGAGCTCCAGGGGAGAGTGTCTTGCTAAAGAAAGCTTTGCCCTGCTTCTTGCAGTGTGAAGAAGCTGGAGGAGCCCATTCTCAGTTCCAGGAGCTTCTGTCTGCCCTTGGCAAAGCTGGTGCCACGTGTTCCCTCAACATTGCCAATAGGCTCTTTGGAGAAGTGACTTTTCAGTTCCTTCAGGTAAGTGACAACTGCTTACAGGTTTTGTGGTTTTGAAAAACTTCTGTACTACACTTGGAACTTCTGCTAAGGACATGAAGTTGCACGTTTCTGTCTTGCTGTTGCGAAAGAAAAGCAAGCTCTCACAGAGGGATGAAACACAAAGTGAACAAGAGTATAAAAAGAGCAACTTCCAAGATTTAATAGGCTTTGGGCAAAGTCAGGGAAAAGGGCCTGCATTTCCTGAGGAGGAGATAAGAATACTTTTGAAAGCCCTGTGTAGCAATTTTCACCAAAATGATGTTTCTTCATGCTTTGATATAGATGGAATTGTCACCCTTCATCTATATTTTTTTAAATGCTGCAGCACATTTGCATCTTTGAGTAGTGTAGTGCAGAGCATTTAATTGTTCCAGACAAGGGAAAAAATCCAGTTTTTCCAGACTGCAAACTGAGACTGTGGGGAAAGAGTTTGTGTCGTTTGTCTCTGCACACACATATATATGCTAAGACCTGACTTTAATGGCCTGATCCCAGAGGGTTCTTTCTGCTTATTTGTGCTGTGCACAACAGGGTAGATGAAGTCCTTGCATGTTATTTTTCATTTGCTGGCACTTTGAAGTGAATGGGGCTCCACACACAGTGGGATGAGAAGTGAGGGCCAGGGAGCAGCAGTGGGGAGGTTGCTCTGTGAGGACAGGGGAGCAGGGGCCATGGTCGTGCCCTGCCCTCCCCAACATCTATCTTGCTGAAATGGTTGTTGTGGTGAAAAAGCAAAAACACTTCTTTCAAATAACAGCGAGAGTAAAAGGCAGCGGAGCTGGGTCTCTCTTACATGACAAGTGTCCCAGGAACTGGTTGCTTGGCTCCAAAATGTGCCCAGAAAGTCTCTCCTGAAGAGTCACAGTGCACGTGCAGGACATTAGTAACTGGAACAAGTGGTTCCACACAGAGCTCTGATCTACAGGTTGGCATCCATTTCTTGGACTCCTATTTTTCCCTGTGGTCAAGCAGCTCCCCAGTTACCATCATGAGATGTTTCTTCCCTGTTTTGCAGCAATACTTAGACTCCACAAGGACTTTGTACCATGCAGAGCTGGAAGCAGTGGACTTCATTAATGCTGCAGAAGAGTCCAGGGCGAAGATGAATTCCTGGGTGGAAAAGCAAACTGATGGTAAGGACAAGGCCTGTGCTTGGCTGCCTGGGTAGTGTGCAACAGGACCATGCGAGAAGTCAATACATGGTGTATGAGTTTTTTCCCTTTTCTGAGTGTAGCAACATTCAGAAATGCAATGGAGTGATGCATTTTGCTTGTGGCTGCTGTAAAACCAGCTTGGGACATAAGATGCTTCTGGGAGCTTTACCTCTGCTAAAGCTGTGAATCAATTCTTGCTGTGGAAGGACAGTTCTTCCAAGTGAGGAAATAACGGGCTCATCCTCAGTCAGTGGTCAAAACAAAAGCATAATTCACCTTTGTTTGTTATTTTAAAGGGAAAATTAAAGATCTGTTCCCTCCTTGCTCTATTGATCACACAACGGTGCTAGCTCTGGTCAACGCTCTACACTTCAAAGGGCAGTGGGCTATAAAATTTGAGGAGAAAAACACCAGGGAAATGCCTTTCAGGATGAACAAGGTACAGCTGGGACAAGAGCTGTAGGGTGCAGGGGAAAGTGGGAAAAGTCTGGGTAACCTGTGCTCTGCTGTCTGCAGAGCAAGTCTCTGCCTGGCTCAGGTGTGGGGGCCCAATTTGTCCAAGCCAAGACTTCACTCTGGAGTGGGAAAGCAGCACCCTCTTCCCAATTGCCTCTGCAACAGAGGTCACATGAAGGCAAGCTTTGGTACCTTCTTGGAGAGGCTAAGTTACAGAGGAGACTTTCCTGAGGGCACATCAGTCTTTCCCAGGGGGTTGTAGCGGGACAGCGCAGAGGACAAGAAGCCCTTAGAGCAACTGTTATGGCTTTCATGGAGCTCAAGCCTCAGACAATGCCCTCAGCAAAAATATATAGTGGTTTGGGGAGTGTTCATGGAAAATGAGCAAGAAATTTCAAGCAGGTTGACCCTGTGGGGTTTATTACCTGCCTTATTTTGTCTTTTTTTTTTTTTTTTCCTGACTATTGTTTGACTTTCTGTATTCTAGAGAGAGGTCAAGAATGTACCAATGATGTGTCGGACAGGAAAATATAAATTAGCCAGGAGACAAGAAGAGCAAGTGACAGTGCTGGAACTCCCGTACACTGGAGAAGACCTCAGCATGTTCATTCTTCTGCCAAAAAACATTTGTGATGAGTCTACTGGCCTTGAGCAGGTAACACTTCTGTCTCTGCTCCTGTGAGGACAAACTACCCGTCCATCCAGTACTTAAACAAGATGCTTCCCAGCCATGCATGTCAACCTTGTGTCTTTTATTGTTATGGGTTTTATCTTGCTTTCCATAGGTGGAATGCTATTGCCTGTGTAAAGACTAGAGAGGCTCATGGTTATATAGATTGCTTCAGGAGAGCAGAGAAAGACTGAGAAAACCTAATCAAAAGCAACACTTCATAGTCTTTCCAAGGAAGTTAATGCCTATTTCAGTGGACAAAATGTAACACTAGCAAAGGGAACTTACTTCTTGCAAAAGTATCAAGACATGATGCTTTATTGGTGTCTGGTAAAAATCTGAACAAATTAGAAGGAACCCTCTGAGAAGGCTGGATCTGAATTTGCCTGATTTCACACTTGGTAGCTGTAAGGCACAGGTTCTGTCTTTATGAAAACCAGGCTTTTCCTTAAAGGAAAGTGTTGCTGTGAGCATTTTAATCTTGTTTCTCATGACCATGATACCCTGTGTTTTCTCCTTGCAGCTAGAGAGTGCTATCACCTATGAGAAATTAGCAGAATGGACCAACATGGAGAATGTGTATCCACAAAAAATTACAGTATACTTGCCCCAGTTCAGAATGGAGGAGAGCTGTGAGCTCATACCAGTACTGCAGGCTCTGGGGATGAGGGATGCCTTCATCTTTGAACAAGCTGATTTCTCTGGGATGTCAAGAGGGCCTGGGCTGTTCCTCTCCAAGGCCATTCACAAGTCCTTTGTGGAAGTTAATGAAGAAGGCACTGAGGCAGCTGCTGCTACAGGGGTGACTATAATACCATTGTGCCTCCACATTCCTTACAAGTTCAGAATTGACCACCCATTCCTGTTCTTGATCAAACACAATCCAAGCAAGAACATTCTCTTCTTTGGCCGGTGTAGTTCCCTCTAAGGGTAGAGCAGGTTCTACTTCTTTCTTCCCAAAGAGAGCACAATACTGTGGTAGAAAGGAGTAAGGCATAAATAACATGTTGCAGGTGTCACTGGCATTTCCTAATACCCATAATCTTGATCCCAAGAAAAACCACCTAGCTGCTTTGGCAAGACTACTGGAAAAAATTATGATGGGCCTTTCCTGTTTAGAGCTCTTCTCAAATGAAAGAACAGTGCTAATGGAGCTTATTTCATTCTTATTTCATTCTTAACCATAAGAACTTTCATTGTAGTTGGGTTGTCTAAACAGTTGGGTGAAGTGATGTGTAAATAAGAAGTCCAAAATGATGTCTCCCATGCCCGAGAACAAAATTCAGCCCCAAGTCTCCAGCTGAGTTGCTCAGACACCTGTGCATACCAGGAAGAAAAAAGGGCCATCATGAAATCTCAGTTTAGAAATGAACCCACACTGTTGTGTCTCTCCATGTAGCACAAAGGCAGACAAAGGGAGAACATATTTATGAGTACATCCTGTAGCTAGTTTCTAAATACAGGGGAGAAAAAGGAACCTGGTCTTAAATATATAGTAAACTGTAGCTCTGCAAAAGAAGACACATAGTTGCAGGCTTTCTCCACTCTCAAATGAGAAGGCTTGCTGGCAGGATCAGAGCTCTAAAGTCACCCCGCAAGCATTTGATGGCATTCCAGCTCCTGTTTACCTCCTGTGGCTTAATGGTGAAATATATTTCATTCAAGATGGATGTTTAGGAGAAGGGTCACACGGCACTTTCCACCAGCAGCAGCAGTGGTTGTGTGTGCTGCTGTGGCACAGGGACACTGTTCCACTGGCCCAAAAATGGATAGTTGTGTGGGAAGCATTGTGCCATGCAGACACTCTTAATGTCCCTTCATCAGCATTTTGTAGTTAGATACTTGCCTTCATCTGGAACAGTGTGAGACACTTCTGTGAGTGAATAGATTTCACACGGGTGTCCCAGGTCAAATACCAAAGCTATTGAACATCATGTTTTGTCAAGGCATTCTTGTTCACATCCAACAAGCATGCAAGACCAAAACAGCAAGGGCTACTTTGCATAGTCGGCGTGAAAGAATATTTCATGGAAGCATATTGCTTTAAAGTCAGCTTTTCTCTAATGTCTTATTCTGTGTAGAAAAAGTATTTTGTTTTATGAAGGTTGTTGGTAAGTGATACTGGTCATAGGTTCTACATTAGATATGCATAAATGTTTACAACCAGATGGGGTACAAGTATTTGGTATTCCCAACGTGATGTGTCTGGGTTATAGGCAGGCCAGAAATGAAGAGGCTGTCAAATTTTATCCAGGACAATATAAAAGCAACAATTTTATCAATGGTGAAAATCAGTGCAACAGAGAGAAATCAGAAATGAGGAAAGATATAGAGAACTTTATTTTCAGGACAGTTTAGTAGTCCTTGGTTACCCCAGGCACCTAGATAGGGAATTTGAATTTCAGAATGATGAAATGCTATATTATACAAATTCCATGGCAGGATGGGGAAAACATACCTTTTGCACATCCCCATTATTCCATGGCCTGAAGAAGAGCCTTTTTCCATGGGAGCAAATTCTCTTTTCACACCTCCTCTGGAGTTGACTCAGTTTATATTGGCTGAAAATTTGTCCCTGTGTTTTTGAATTGTGCACCTGTCAGTTCCTCAGAGGGCTTGGCAGATTGGGAAGGGTATTTCCAAATTTTATTCTGCTTTCAAAACTTGGTCACTAACAATATGTGCACAATATCGGCTATCATGCTCCACTTCTGGACCACAGTACATCTGATTTCCCTAGCTGGAAGGACTGGAATGAACATCCCCACAGTAACTTTTATGCTAATGACACATTGGACTACCAAGCAATTGCATAATTTGACTAGCTACGGAAATCATACCACAAGGATCGTCACGAGAAGGAAGAAGAACAATTACTTTTAACATCCAGTCCGACGGCCAAAAGCAATACCTTTCTCCTCAGATTTGTGAAAATTATACAATGCTCTACAGGGCTGAGCAGCCCTGAAGGGCATTTCAGGTTTCCAAGTCCATAATTTGTTGAAGTAGCTCAGTACCTACCAATACCCACAGTGTTTTGGGTAGTGTGATTAGTGTAGCAAGAAGTTCTTGATCATGAGTACATCTACATTAATTACATTTTATGACCAGGGAGACACTCCCAAACACTATGTCTTGTACAAAGAATAAATTGACTAATAAGTACTTTCATGGCTTGCGCAGTAGCATATGTGAAAGTTTAAAGATGCCTGGATGTAACTGTTCTAATTTACAGTCAGAATGATTTAGGACAGAAAGGAGTTAAAACTCCAGGGATAAGGAAGGACTGAAACAGAGGTTTGGAAACTCTTTGTCTAAAAACTTCTAAAAATGGGTTCAACAAATACCTATCAACTGTAATCTAGACATCTTTGATCCTACCTTAGGGCAGCAGATGCACTAGACAATATCAAGGCTCCTTCCAGCCACACATTTGTGTCATTTCCAATCAAAGCTAATTAATGGCTACATGGAGTTGCCAAAGAACAACAGAGACTTTCTCAATGTATCTGTTCAAAGTTATTACAAGATCTGTTGGTAGGAACAGATTTTTCATTCCTTTTTCATATATGTTACCTTGGAAACTTAATTTGCCATATGTACAACAGATTTTATCATCATGTTCTTCTTTACTAAAACCATTGCCCATCCATTGTATTTTCCATGGTTGGGTACCAGAGCCCCAGAGGAAGGAGTCCGCACACCATGTAGATTGTGGGCGGTAGCTGAATGCAGATTTTACAGTAAGCCTCCCCCATTTCTTCAGGTACAAAATGTTTCCTAGCAGTCCTTTGTTCTTTACAACGCAGCTCCAAGAACAACATGAAAATGACTGTGAATGCTGATCTGTATTGAATGTGTTGTGTTCTCCAAAATGTTTGGGAATTCCTCACCAAATTTAATTTAAATTAGCACTGTATAAATTCTTGTGTCAATCCCCAATTCCCTGAAGATATGCCTTGTCCTATGATATTACCTATGCCTCTGTTGGTGATGAAACAATAAATGTTCGTGATGAGGGTTTATTACTTGCCAATGTCCTCAGTAACATTGAAAAAAGCTTGAGGATTCTAAGGAGAAACACTTAGATGATAAAAACCAAGGAATTTCATTTTCACAAGTGCATAAACATGCTTAACTCCCATTTCTATCACTTGAAGCACTCCAAAGTCCACCAGAATTATGATAGCCAAGTTTCCCTTTGAATTTGTGCTCTTGGTTTCCATCATCTTCTGGGCTGCAGAATGACTGGTTTGGAGGATTATCAGGGCCTCAGCAACGAAATCATAAGAACTGATGTCCAGAGAGGCCACTGATGTATCATCTATTGACCCTAGCCTAGATTGAAATGCCAAAATCCTGATGTTTCATCTCAGCAGAATTTTCATTCATGCATATATTTCATTGTTAAAAAAAAATGTAACCAGTCTCTACCTTCATAGGAATGAACTTCAAAATGCAAATTAATGTCTTTTGCACTTTCAAAATCCCCCCAAACCAGCTCCATTGCATGAAAATACCTATTATCTTTTTCAGTGGTTAATCGATACAGAAAAACTGCCCCTTTCTTAAAATGCAAAGGAAGTTTTCTACTATCTCCATCACTGCACCCAACAATGCTGACTGATGAGAAAAGCCATGCATTGAGATGGATGGAAGTTTAACTACTTGAGGTAGAGCTAGAAAAGGAATGTTTATGGACATTCTGTATCTCTTATCTTTAAAAAATGCTGCATTTGTTCATTAGGTAAAAAGACCTGGCTTATAAAATGATTTAAAATGCCACAAGGGAATGATATTCAGAGATAATGGTAAATGAGATCAGTCACAAAGCCTGGATCAGCTGGAATTATCAAATAGGCTCATCATGCAGAAATATTTATCTGTCTAGCCATAAGCCCTTACTCTGTGGAAGCCAGTTAAGAAGACACATGCAGACATCCTTGCTTACAAATGTAATCTCCTATTGTTAGTCATGGCTCTTGAGCAGGTGGGAAAGGGTGTCAGCAGAGAAGATACAACAGGCAGAACTGGCTGCATTGCTAGAGCTTTTCTTGGATGCCAGTAAGATAAGTGAATCAAAGATGAAGTATTTTTGGATGCTGTTTTGGGACATGTCTAATCTTCCCTGGAGAGTAAAGGGGTCCATTGCAATCATGGAAAGACTTCTGGTGCAAGAAAAAAGTTCAGGTGGAAAAAAACAGTGCTGGGCTCACCTTTTCCATGGCAAGTTAAATGACCAAAGTGAGGTGGCCCAAATCTCTCCAAAGTTGACACCCATCAATTCCTGCACTCTGTTGCCAATAAATTCAGTATTGGAGAGTCAGCAGTGGAGTTTAGAAGGTAAAACTTGCTTTTCACTAGGTCCTTGACTCACACTGCCTGAAAAATCACAGGAATTAATATCAGACTTTGCTCACGTGGTGCTTCCCAAACGAGTTGAGACCGTCAGCAACATCTGAAGTCTCTCCCACTTCTTCATCAACTTCAGGAGGATTGTTCTGTCATGCTAATGTTGCTCTGATATGATGTATAAAGTTTGTTATTTTTTGTGATGCTTATATAGCAGGTGCCTGAAAAATAGGGTTAGCCCTCCTGATGGTTGGCCCAGTGAAAATCACAGAAGTCCTTGTTTCGTTCTTGATATTCAGCAACACTACTTACCCAATGGTACCTTTACTCACTGACAACCTCGGACACATCAGATACTCTGTAATTACTGCCGGAGAACTCTCAGAGTGGTAGCAGAATGTGCATTTTGTCAGATGATAGGGACAAGTAGAGCCTTTGCTGTCAAGCTGGAGATCAGCCTCTTGATCCTCAACAAGAAACTACTTGCCTGCTGCATCCTGCAGACACTGACAGCAAGGGAAGTATATGGCTGCAAATGGTGAGAAAAAGCCAAGGGAGAACTATAGCCATCCAGGGTCACTGCTGTGTGTCCACTTGCAGCAAAGAATGATCACGAGGGACATGCTGATGGTCTGTTCTGTACAGAATGAGTTGTTGCTTCTTGATGTGAAATTGTGTTCTACTGATTGACAACACTGAGTGGATATCTTGTTCCTTGTTTTGGCCTTCCTACGCTTATCTCATCCATGTAACCAGAACTCTTTGCAATTTATAAATCATATAGAGAACTATTCATTGCCTTGGTCCTGGCACCAAGGCCACCAGAAACAGTAATAGAAATGTCCCTGGTAAGTGAAAGAAAAGAGACTTTCAGCCAAAATGACTGCAAACAGGTAAACAGCGCTGAACAAAACTTGTCCCTAAGGGTGTGGTGCCATTTACAGTCTTATTTAAATGTGGGGAACTTCAGGGGTAAGAAGCAGCTCAGTCTGTGATTCACTCCTCTGTGCCTGAAATCCAGCAATGAACCTTTGCATTATTCAAAGAGCAAGAAGGGAGTCACAGGGCTGACAGGGGTGCTGCGAGTCCTAGTCAAGCTCCCTGTCCAAAGGCAGGATGAGCTATAGCTTTTCTTTTCCCAGCAGGCATCGGTGCACTGTGTCTCCTCAGAACCTACAACACAGGAGATCCTTCAATCTACTTGAACAAAACCTCCTGTGTTTCTCAGACATTCCTGTTAGAGAGCTATGACTGGCTAAACCACTCTTCTAACCTGCATTATATTAACCTACAAGAGACTAGAAGAGCATCAGAAAATGTTCCTTTCTGGGAATTAATGTCAGCCCAGTTACTTCATTAGCCATAATTTGACCACTGACAGAAAATGATCCATGTGTAACAAACCTCCACCAAATGGAGCAATGGAACAACTGTTAATCTTCAGGGTAACTCAAAACGTAATACAAACAGAAATATCTAAAGAAACAAAGAAATAACAAACAACAAAGAAACCTGCTTGTTAAAGACAGTTAAGCAAGAGTTCAAAAGTATCACAAAACTAAGCAGAGCTAGGAGTATAGTGTTTCACTCTGCTAGCATGTTAGATAACTTGAACTTTGCCTTGAGAGATACACAGAAGCATGAATTTTAAGGGGACTTGTGGCTCTAGCACACACCCCTGTGCCTAAAGGACATGATTTACTATGCTCCAGGATTGTAATTTTCCATTCACTATATTACTTCAGATTCAAAATTTCCAGTATTCCTGAAAGAGAAATACACAGTTATGCCTTGCTGCTTGAAAACCTCTTCCCTTCTTTTGCTCTGGGACATGACTCTGACTTAGAGCTCTGGTATCTTGCTGCTTCTGCTTGCTCTTATATTTCTACTGCTCTTACATTCCACAGCATTTTTCTTCCAACTGTGCTATGTCCCATGCCAAAAATAAGAATGAAAGAACAGCCCACCACTGCAAGAAAAGGAACAGTATCTGCCTGGTTCTGCTCTGCAGTTTCCTTTAGGCAACAACATGAGGAACAGGCTCAGGAGCTGGGTTTTGAAGGGACTGTGGAGAGCAGCCACTTCCTCAGCAGAAACCAGGAAAGCAACCTGGACACTTCTTTGAGAAGTTTTCTTGCCCCAACATTAAGCAAGTAAAACCAGACTCCACGGCTTTCTTCCCTTCAGTCAAAATCTGTGCAGGTCTAACCCTCTTTTCCTCAGGGCTTGAACGAACAGCGCGTTTTTAATTTCTATTTCCTCCAAAAAAAGAAGATAGAAAATTCAAACTGGAAAAAAAATAAACACGTGAATATCTTATGACTGATGTGAAACTGCCTTCAGAGCTTCCTAAATACCAGAGAAGTCTAGTGTCTGATTGGGTTGATATGTAAGTATATGCTAGTAGTGATAACCAAATACTTCTTACAAAACAGTGTTCTAAGTGTTTGTGCTTGCACACACTCATGCAAATACTTGCCCACCCACACACCATATCAACATAAACATCAAGGAAAATTTTTTTTCAGGAAAAGAACTCCAGAAAGGTACTCATAATTAGGTTGCTCTGTCCCTGCTGCCTATGCCTTGATGAAGCAATATAAGACAAGGACCAGACTTCCTCAGAGACACTGATAAAAATGAGAAGTAAGGAGAAGTTCTGTGCTAAACTTAGGTGATGCACCACTGTCTTGTGGAAATCCTGCCTGGACAAAGCTCATCCAGCTTTCCTCTAAACTCATCTGCAAAATGCAAGGTTTTGAAAGAAGACTAAGTGGACAGGGATAGCTTCTCTACCTACGTGTTGTCCCTTGTGTCAGAAATGCCTTCCCCACTTACAATAGAAATACCAGGAGAGGAACAGGGCTCCCATATTTCCATCAGGAATACCTAAGGAAATATGGGTGATGCATGAGGAGCCCCTAACTGCAGCATCTCTGCAGGAAGCAGATAGGAATGATACAATGTGATAGGAACGCACACAACCTGTGCCCCATCACGGGAATGCACACAGCCTGTGCCCCATCACGGGAATGCACACAACCTGTGCCCCATCATGGGAATGCACACAGCCTGTGCCCCATCACAGGGAGGCACACAACCTGTGCCCCATCACGGGAATGCACACAGCCTGTGCCCCATCACAGGGAGGCACACAGCCTGTGCCCCATCATGGGAATGCACACAGCCTGTGCCCCATCACGGGAATGCACACAACCTGTGCCCCATCACAGGGAGGCACACAGCCTGTGCCCCATCATGGGAATGCACACAGCCTGTGCCCCATCACGGGAATGCACACAACCTGTGCCCCATCACAGGGAGGCACACAGCCTGTGCTGCACCACTGCAGCAGCTGTGGCACTCAGCTGCAGCAGAGCCAACACACACACACATGGCACAGCTGTGCTCTGCGTGCACGGTGCTCGCTCTGCAAGGGTGTCATGCAAATGAAAGCGAGCTAGTCTTTGTCCAAGCTGTTGGATATTCAACAAAGTCTGGAACATATGGTTAAATTCTTCTTCTCCATTAAGGACAAAATTTCTCATTGAGGAAGAAAACAAGTAGGAAATGCACCCTGGAAGGGATCTTCAAGGGACAAGTCTTCAGAAGCACAGAACTGTAGCAGGCAAAGGGAATTACCCTATTTCTACCCCAGAACCACCACCTTACATCACAGTTGGCCAGACAGGTACTTTTATAATTTATATTTTTCTTTTCCATGCTACTGTGCCACCTGCAGAGCTTTTAATATTTAATTTCTATGACAAAATTATATGTGTTTGTATTGGATAGTGCCACTTCTGACAGCAACACACATAAAACTTTGTACAATTTATTTTTTTACAGGTAAAATCCCTGAAATCTCCTTTGTTTGTAGGAGTTTGCTTTCTTTTTTTTAACTAGGTAGACTTTTCTTACATCTCAGTATGTATTTAAAATTGTGACTTCTTTCTGAACCCCTAGCAATAAGGAAAAATTCAAGATTTAACAGAATGTCCCCTAATTATACTAACTGGTTGCAACAGACAGACATGTGACTCATCGTGAGTGAAAATTATGCTGCCACTGGGAGTGGCAATGGCTTTATATCCCACTGCTCCAGAAGCCCTGCCACCAAGCTCAACAGTCGACAACATCAGTCCTGAGGAGAAGGTAAATATCTCCTTGACCTTTAATTCTAACCTTCACATTACAAATAACATAACTATGAAATGTCTAAATATTGATATGTACATTAGCCGTGCATTTATCTGCTTAGCACATATGTACTGTATATAGCATATTTTGAAGAAGTGAGAATATTTTCAAGATGCCATGCAATGTTTTGGATTACAGTAAAGCGTATGGGCCGTGTTCATCAACTATGCTTGTACAATGGCGTTACCAGGTGTGTTTCTAAAGATTAAAACCAAACCTTTTCTCACTTCTCCTGCATGACCCAGATTGGTAATTTACAAGAGTATAATCTTTCTACAGTATTCCATCTTTTAAATATTTATCTGGATAATTTAATTCTTCTTGCGTAATGGAGGAAAGGTATCTTTCACATCTGTGGAGCAAGTTATTTAGACTCAGTAAGAATAAAAACTAAAGTGACTTAGAATGGTGGAAACTCTGAAATACTGAACTGACTTTCTAAAGGATCAGATGCCTCTATATCACTTTACTGGATGAAGACACTGGGAAAAGGATTTCATAAGAAAGGAACTCTGTCCTCGGTGTAAGATGTGAAGAGTTTTTCAGGACATTCAAGATCATCTGCTAGTAATAATTGTGATCATAACCAAAGTATATCTGGGAAAAGTGTTAAAGCTGCAGGTAAAATAGAAAATATGGCAGATAAAATATAAAATATGACTGGAATTTTCCACTAATACACAATGTGCCTTTGTTGAAAATCTTGCTAACTGGCCTATCTGTAGTTTGATTTTCTGTCAATGTTTGTTAAGCAACCAGCTATAGAAGGACACAGTATGTGAGGCACAGCTGATAAATGCACACAGTTTTTCGAGAGAGGCACAGAGAATGAGGTATGATCAAGGGGTGTGATTAAAAAGTACTATGCCTAGAGGACTCGAGGCAAGAAAAATCGGGACAAAAAGTGAGCTGGGACTGTAGTTAGGACAAAGCTAGGGCCAAGTGACAAAGCCATAGCTGTTGTTTGAGGTAGAGAAACAAGTGAACTCAGAATATTGTTTCTGAAAATGTCTTTCTCCTGCCATTCAGGGTACTGGTTTTCAGATTCAGTGTGAAATCCCAGACGTGGAAAACCAGGAAATTTCTGTGAAGTGCTGAACAGTTCAGCCACCCTACTGCAGAATACTTTACTGTGCTCTGCCAAGGCATCTAAGCGTAGCAGGCGTAAGGATGAGAAACCTAAATCTTTGTTTCCCTTGTTGCAGGTGATTGCAGTGCCACAATGTGCTCGCTCAGTGCAGCCAATGCCAAGTTCTGTCTTGACTTTTTCAGAGAGCTGAGCAAGAGAAACAGAAATGAAAACATCTTCTTTTCCCCCCTAAGTCTCTCAGCTGCCTTTGGGATGGTTGTCCTCGGAGCCAGGGGCAACACACTCACACAGATTGAGAAGGTAGGTTTCCTTTGTTCTGAAAAGGGGACAGTGGCAAGACATGAGCCAAGAGCCTGATAGTACCATCTGACATATTTCCTAAGGATCCAAAGGAGTGATGTACACAGAGGGCCCTTTAAAAATACCTTCTGTTATGCTATTCCTAATGCCAAACTTTTTCAGACTAAACACTATTACATTAATTGATCATTCAGTGAATGCATCAGTGCTAAAGAAAGTGTTTTGGAGGTATCTCTCCAGGGCTCAGAAGTGGTGACTCCCTTTGACATGGTCTTCTGCCTTCTCTGGATACCTGAAGTCTTCTTTCTTAAGAGGAATGATTTCAAAGATTTCATGAGCTCACCCTCCACAAAAATTTTTTCACTTGCAAGGATCTCATGATAAAAGACAGACAGGACTTGCCCCACTGTGGCTGAATTTTGGGATAGGCTTGCAACACTGTTTTAGCTTTGAGGTACCTTCACTCAGCTGCATTCACCCAACATTTACATTGCAGGTATTTCATTTCAGTGAAGTTTTGAGCAGTCCGAGCCAGGGAAACAGATACCCTTCTGAGAAGGTAAGACACAGTTGCAGCTCTGAGATGAAGCAACTGGTGCCGGTTTGTCAGCCCTTCGCCTGACAAACTGACACTTAATCAGAAAGCAGGGGCAGGGCTGAGCAACCTCTCTGTCTAGATTTGCAGACCTGCTAATTACTGTTCTTTTATTAGCTATTTAAGGGGGCATATGAGATCACACATTTCAACAGCTAAGCCTTCTCATTACAGGTCTCTAACCAAAACAGCAGTACCAATCTAAAATGTGATATGTGCTTAAATTGCCACCTGCAAAGTTTGTCTACAGGGCATGGCAAAGTCACCTTGGAGCTTGCTCTTCCCAGCCTCTAAGCCTGCAGACTTTTGCACAGTGAGCACAGAGTCATCACTGTAGGATACAATGTGATTTGGAGGCCTGAAGGGGAATCCTTTTGTAGTTCTGTACCTCTGTTACAGGGGGGAGTTGTAGGTGGTGTCGTGATGCATTTATTCCAATGCCTGTATCAACAGGGTGGAGTCAGGCTTCTCATACAGCGAGAGGCTGCGATTCACACTCAGGTCCAGCTTTGCATAGGAAAGCTCAAGCCTACCATGAAACTTCTGTTTTCCTATTTGAAGTGCGAAGAAGCCGGAGGAGTCCATTCCCAGTTCCAGGAGCTGTTGGCTGCTGTCAGTGAACCCAGACCAGGCTGCTCTCTCACCATTGCTAACAGGCTCTTTGGAGAAATTACTTACCCGTTCTTCCAGGTAAGTGGCTGTGGTGTCCATCTCAATAGCTCCTGGGAGTTACGAGATCAGCAGAGTTTCTTCCATCATAAAGTACAAAGGGCAGTGAAACACAATGGTGCTGTCAGGGTGTGCTGCCAAATGACTGCACTCCACAGCTCTTGCAGTCAGGGAGCCTTTCCATCTCAGCTGCCCAGTGGCTAGACACGGGCAACAGCAGAGCACTGGGAAGCTGTGACTTAAAGGCTTTTATATAAAGAAGCAGATCTACAGTAACAGCTCTCCCTGGGCATTCCAAAAAATGTGGAGGTATTAATCGCCATCAACAGATCCTTGCCACGCACACCCAGTGTCTAACAGCGCTGGCGCTTGCTGTCTTATTTCTAGCCAAGAAACAAAGCTTTGTGACTAGCAGAAATCTTGTTTTTCTTCCCCTGTGTCTCCTCTGCTTCTAATAAAATGATTGTGCTCACTCTTCCACCTTTCCTTCAGAGTCTATGCAAATGTGGGACTTGATTCCTGTTGTCTTTTTAAGCAAGCCTTTGAGATTTTTGTCCATTAGTCTACTTTAAGTGGAAATGACCATCTCAGAACATTCCTGTGGAACACTGACAGCCAAGGTAATGCAAGTGCATACAAATAATTTCCTCAGGAAAACAGACTGAATGTGTTTATAAAAGTATAGCTAGAAACAGCGCTGTTTTATCTCTTCACAAGTCACTCCCCCACCCCCGCAAAACCCTCACTGCGATATTAGATACCCTGGTTATTTGTTTAAAATAAGGCAACCTTCTTCATTTGGTGTCTGGGGGAAGACATGCAGCATAACAATGATACATAAGCTTAAAGAAAGGTACCAGGTTTTGATCTTAGATATTTTTTACTGTGCTGAGACATTTCTGCTGCTCAGTACATCTTGAAAATACAGAAAGATCTATTTGCAAATGTGGTTTTTCTAAATAATCTCTCTCTAAAAACTGCTTGAGTTATTTCAGTGAATTTCTTATACATACCTTTTTTACTCATTCCTTCCTTGCTGATCTACTACGTGGAATTATCCTGAAGCCTTGAAAATATCTATCTTATAAAAATCACTGTGTTGCAATAAACTTCTGTTATTTGTACTTTCCAGCAATACTTGGATTCCACAAAGAAATTCTATCGAGCAGAGCTGGAACCAGTGAATTTTAAATACACTGAAGAAGAAGCCAGAGAGAAGATTAACTTCTGGGTGGAAAATGAGACAAAAGGTGATGAAGAAAATGTGCGGGTTGTTTGGTTTGCAATTGAACCAGCTAGGAATATAATGTCTGAACTTCAGTTTCCACCTTTTTTTACCAAAGGTAGCAAGATTTTTATATATTAAACACTGAATGTTTTTTCTCAATAGGAGATAAATGTAGGAAGAAGCACAAAAATGCCTTGAAAAGCTTCAAAAGCTGTACATAAACTTTTTGTTAGTTGTCTGACAGCATTATACTACTTTTCAGATTCACAGAAATATTTATTAGTAGTCAAATGGAGCTGACTGCATGAAGAAAGTAATAATTACTCTTAATTCATTATTTTTAAAGGTAAAATCAAAGACCTATTTGCTGCTGGGTTTATTGATCCATCTACTGTACTTGTCCTGGTCAATGCTATATATTTTAAAGGGAAGTGGGCAGTACAATTTAAGAAAGAAGACACTAAGGAAACCTATTTCCAACTGAACAAGGTACAGTATGGGCAGGAACTGAAACAGCTAGGGGATGGAAATCAGATGTCTGTCTCCTATAACAACAGATGGGAACTTTCCTCCTCTCTGTTATCCCAAGACAAAACACTTTTCTTCAGCTAGAACAACAGAAAACTACAACTCCTCTCCAGTTTGAGAACCAAATATGTAGCTGTTTCTGTCAATTCACATCAGTAGTGGGTCTCGTGCATCCTGGCTGGTTCAAAGTCACTCAGCACGTGCACTAACTTTGGGGATTTTGCAACCAAGGATGCTGTTTCAAAAATAGCCTGCTTTTGGGACTGAATTTGAGGATTCTGTTGTTCTGTTATCGCTTACCAACAGAACAGTGTTTGTTTTCAGAAAAAAAATGAGCTAAAGACAAATTATCTCAGGAGAATATATACATTACTCATGAATAATCTAGATTCATGTTTGCATCAGATGCAACAGTTCCTCATTGGACATGCCAGAAAAAAGAAGGATGTAATGAGGGAGTTGAGTAAACTAATCTGGCACTAATAGAAATTAAAAAGTAGGTTTTATGCTTCTAAAATGGATAACTTTATTGGAGCTACAGTTAGGAGAGAGGAACACATCAATGATACAAGTACATTAAACCCATGTCCACTGTAAATAACGTTTCTGGACTGAACTCTAATCTCAATACTGAAAACAGTTAAAACCAGGGTGATCATTTCTGTATTTTCTGTTTCATGTGTTCTAGAATGAGAGAAGGACAGTGCAGATGATGTTTCAAGAAGGGTATTTTAACATGGCCATCATAGAGGAAGTGAAAATTAAAGTGATAGAGCTCCCATACTTCAATAATGAACTGAGCATGTTCATTCTCCTTCCTGAAGTTGTCTGTGAAGACTTTACTGGCCTAGAGCAGGTAATACTTCCTAGTGTAGCACACATAAGGGGCTGTAAACAGAGCAATTCTTTAACATTGTTCCAGTGTGGTCAGAAGACAAGCAGGGAAAACCGAACCTTTTTATCTTTTCCTTCTGTTCATTATTGTGTCAGTCATTATTGTCAATACTGCCTTACAGCTTGAATGCACCCTCACGTATGAAAAACTGGCAGGATGGACCAGCTCAGCTAGGATGCAACAGCTGAAAGTGAAGGTGTATCTGCCTCAGTTCAAGATGGAGGAAAGTTATGTTCTCAACAAAACTCTCCAGGAGATGGGAGTGATGAATGTTTTTGACTGGGGGAAAGCTGATTTGTCAGGAATCTCTATGAAAGATGGTTTGGTTGTGTCTAAGGTCATTCAGAAGTCATTCGTGGAAGTCAATGAAGAGGGCACTGAAGCAGCTGGTGCCATGGGGTTTGCTACGGTGCCTTTGTGTCTCCCAGTTTCTTATGAGTTCAAAGCTGACCATCCATTCCTCTTCTTTATCAGACACAACCTTACCAACACCATTCTTTTCTTTGGAAGATATTTGTCCCCTTAAGTGGAGTTTATTTTGGAAATTAGATCTTTCTCCCCACTAACATCCCCACTGGCAAGCACTGAGGACAAAAGAGGAGCACATTTTCTCTAGGCTTTATCCTAAGGTGCTAATTTACTGCAAAAAAGGCTATCTGATAAGAGCCAAAGTAGAGACAAAAATCTAAAAAATGTTAACTGTTTCCTTTCTAACATCAACTTCAGGCATGTTTTAGTTTTAGGATGCCTCACTAAAATGACATCTACCTTAAAATACACTATGTGATATTTGCCAAAGAGCTGTAGGCCTGTAGAGATATCTGCATAGAAAATCTTATTTTGAGGCTTTCCTAATGTAGTATGTCTCCAATAAACCCATCATTTTAGTGCCCTGAAGATGAGTGATACCTTCTCCCACATGAAGGAGACAGGAGGATGGGGATCTGCATTAAAAGGATAAACTCAGGTACTCAGTCTGTTTTAGCTTTACCTACCCAACCTCTGTGTAGGTCTCAAGGAAAATGCTACTTTGTATGGGAGTAGCAAAGTATTCCTGCGGGACCCCTCCTTTAATCATTGATCAGGGGTAATGGTGCAAGCTGGAATTCTCGGGATTTTTTTCTCAGAGAGCAGAAAAAGCAGAAATGTTTTCTAGTGTAATCTTGCTTGTTCTCAAGCAGGGAAGACCCATTGCTTTTTTTCTTTTTTTTTTTTTTTTTTTTTTTTCTGTGGGAAAATCTGTATGTGCTAGGAAGTTCTCCAACTTCTTCATAAACTTCCACGTAACAAAACCAGTGTTTCAGAACAATGGAAGGCCTTTGCTGACAAGGTCTGCTCTGCAATGGCTATGAATTAGACATTTAATTCCCATATAAAACTTAAGTAGTGATCAGCCATTCTCACTTCTAAAAATCATCTCTCTTTTTGCCTCAGATACCATGAGTTTCTTGTTTCATCTGGTTTATTCCTCATTAGCATAAAAACTAATAAAAAAATCTATATCAATGGTATTTAGGTGGATTGTCTGTATTTGTTCCATTTATAATAATAAAAACACTGCAAACTAAATATTAAATGTCTGCAGAATTAAGTGGACAGAGGGACTAGTCTAATGTAGCATGTATAAATAATGCTAATCCTTTCAAAAATGTGACACTGAAGTCTGCCTCACAATTTTAAGTATTCATCATGCTAAGTTTAGTCACTGGACAACTCTACATTAGGATACATAAGCCCTGAACCTTACCTAGTGTTTCTCTCTTGCATTTGATTTTACCAGGGAATTAAGAATGCAGTTTTATGACATGGTTGACCCAGTCTAACTGAGGAGGAGGATGCTGCTCCCCTTGCCTCCTTCCTTCCATGTGTTTCTTCTCCCTCCCTTACGCCATCACTATTATTTGCCTGACTTGGTGATGAGCAGTTCTCTGGGACATAAATCAGGAGGAAAATTTCTGGTAAAGTTAATTTGCTTGATGATGACCTAGTTCCCTAAACCACCTCCTGGATGTTGCAGAGTAGGTGGTGGGAAAGTGTAGTGAGGGGTTACGGAGAAAAGAGCAGCCTGCACATTTTGGCAGCGGGTAATGTCCAAAATCCACAGATACATGAGAAATACTTGCTTTTAAAGAAAAAATATTTCCCGTCTTTGATGACTCACTCTCCTTTTCCTGTTGCTCACTGATGCAAAGCAAGTAAATGCTGAGAGCATACTAGTGCCATTTCAGAACTGCGGATTTAATGGTCTCTTCCAAATGCTGAGATATGTAGGAAAAATTACAGTAATTTACAGTACCCAACACTAATTCAATTACTAAATAAAGCAGTCTAATGGTAGTCTGTGGAGCTGTCTCACACAGCTTCAATTTCGGTATGAAATACAGCCCAAAATAGTAAAATTACTAGTAGAGGCACAGCTTTTCATATCAATTAGCTGGTAAGAGAAGAGAACACCAAACATAGGCTGTGGGCATTTCTGATGAATAGGATATGCAAAAAATAGCCATGTATGTTCTTCAATGACTGCCATTGGTATGTTATATATATCTGGTTTGTTTCAAATATAAAATACGTAAAAAAAAAAAAAAAGTGAAATGAACAGTGTTAGAATGTATTAGCTTGCATAATCAGATCTATATATTTTCAGACAAAATGTAAAAGAAAAACAATTAATGGCATAGGTGACAAAGGCAAATGCTGTAAAATATTATCCCTAAGAGTACAAATCTTACAACAAGAAAAGGAAATCTGCGTGTGAGCAAAGGAGAAGGTGTGGCTGAAACAAGGCTTGTCACTTAGCTTACTATAGCAGTAGTAGTCAGTTATGATTTTTGTTTTTGTTTTTTTTTTAAAAAAACTTACTTTGGGGATATTTATATAACTTCAAAACCACAAACAAAATACAGCATAAATGAAAAAAAAAAATCCATTTTTCTCTTCTCATAATCTTTTTTCTAATTGCCATATTTATTTGTAAAACAGCTAAAAAATGTGGTGAAAACAACCAGGAGCTGCAAAGTAATCTCTTGCTGCTAGTGTAGTGGAAGCAGCTCCTAATGTAAAGGGCAGTGCTCCCACAAAATCAGAGACATTTTCTTAAAAATAGCAGGTAAACCCTGCACTGTGGCAGCAAGTGCTTCTCCTGTGGGGAACTGTAGCTTGTAAATGTGCAATGCCAAACACCAGAGCTTGCAGAGCAGAGCAAAGCCAGAGACTCCGATTGGTGCCTGGTGCAGGCACGATCCCAAAGGGGTGACACTGCCTCTTCCCCAAGGACAGGCTCGATGCTGAGTGTTGCTGCACAGCCTGTTGAACCACACAGGTGTATTTCATAGCTGACAAATATGTACACTATCAAAAAGCAAAGCAAAAGAAGTCAAATACTATTTGCATGAGCATGCATGGAAAGATAGTGCCCATTTGTCCCACACTAGACAGATTTGTGTCTTTCCACGGTTTGATTACTGAGTAACTCTCAATTTACATATTCACCTTTCCACTGGACTCTAATTTCTCTGATGGTTGCAGTTCTCAGTTTTCTCTGGTATTTTCCTTTCCTTGAAACTGTTTCTTAGTACCTATGTATAACATAGTTATAATAATAACTTCAAAGATTTACAATGGAAGGACAAGAAGTTCAAAGGAAGATTTTTGGGTTGTCACTGAAAAAGCCAGAGAGCAGTATTGAGTAATATTTTTTTTTCCCATATGAAAACTAGTGCTTCTTTCCTTCAAACTATAACTGGTAGAAGATTTTATACCAGGAAGCCTGGTTCCTTATGATCCCAGTAAGAACGGCGCTGAGACCCTGTAAGGTATCACTTCAAATACCATTTATTGGAGCTAATACTATAAAGAAAAGGAAGAAAGTAGAGCCTGCACAGATGAGCTACTCAGCAGCTGTGTGCACTAGGCAAAAAGCAGCCCTGTTTGCCAGAGAGCACCATGAGCATGACACTTGCAGCAAGTGAGATTCAGCTACCTGAGGAGTGGCAATCGGGCAACCCTCTTCCTTTCTTTTGGCAAGTGTGTGCAGCAGAAAAAAAAAAAGTCACTGTTTTACTGCTGCTTTATTATAACAGATTGAGCTCTTGCTAGAGCCAACCGGCAGTCAAGGGGTATAGAGGACTGGTGGATGTGCTCGGCCTCCTTTTGCCTTGGGTTGCTGTGCAAACACAATGCACATTGACATACCAGCCACTATGTGCTCTGAAGGGGAAAGGACACGTTAGGCATTAACTTTACCCTGGGCCTGACACACTGACTTTGAGAGGTTTCATACAAGGTATTGGTTGTCTATAAGTGCCACAGAGCTGATCATCTCCAGCACAGCAAATACCATGACCGAATAAAAAGCATCAGAAATCCTGCAAATGGGACTTCTTTAGCCATATCTCAGGTCACTGAGAGATGCCAGTATAGCCTCTGCTAAGCCTGATGAGGATGGACAGGCCACCCAAAGCATAAGCAAACATTACCCCCACCCACTGCATAATAGTTGCAGAGCAAACATAAGAAATTAAATGTGATAATCTGAACAGAGAAATGATGGAAAGCGCGGCTTTTTCTGCTGCTTAGAATCTCCTTGAATATGCCAACAGTGAGGAAGAGGGGCAAACACCATGAACTAGGTCAGGCACAAAGGGCAGCAGAGTCCTTGCTGATGTCTTTCTTGGGACAAACATGGATATGGAGCTGATTTTAACCTGTTTGTCTTGCTTTACAGTACTACACTCTCAGCTTTTGAATTTAAGGAGGAGCATCTGATTTCCCCAGATCCAATGCCCTAACTAGGAAAAGTTACAAAAGAGCACTTGTCTGCCTCATGGTAGCCCCTTCTGATAAAAATTTTCAGCTACTCACAGGCTGCTCCTGCAACTACTTTTGCATTAACATTCAGCATAGAAAAAATAACAAAGCAAACCCCAGGGTGTGTAGTGACGGACTACTTTCTGGAGAAGTTGTACTGCCTCATCCACAACTACTGGCAGAACCAAACTTTCTCTCTTCCATGAGCTCATTTATTTTGGGTGGTTTAAACTATCTTGCCTGCCTTGACAAAGTAGTTTTTCACATTAGGGTAGTTAGCATAATTCAGAAACTGAGCAGTTATCAGACATTCAACAAGCTTGCCTGCGCAGAGAACTGTTGTGGTCGTTGTGCTGCTGCAGAGATATGAAATGTAGAGTGTATGAAGAAGGCAAATATATTGGCTGGGAGAACATACCAGAAATACCTACATGGCGTCTTCTAGAGGACTTGATGCAACAAAATGTTTGCTGAGCAAATCTTAGACATTAGGCAAAGAGCTGGCTGGTTGTGTCCTTCAGGTGCATGATCCACAGATGTCGAAACAGGACAAACCCATTGAACCAGAGCATACAAAGGAGTGTGGGTTCCCAGGAAAGCTCTTCATGGGAGCCCCAAAGGCATGTTTGGGCAACTGCTGACCAGTAGCTGGAACTCTAATGTGAATATGTGAAATGGGAGAATAAGAGAAGATACACTACAGATCTTTCCATATAAAACCTGTGCCCTCAGGCAGTGATGGCTTGATAGGATAAAATAAAAGCTACAGCAGCCCAGCTCACAGAATAAGGAACATTGAACAAGGTGAGAGGAAAGCTGCTTACTGTTTTTAGTTTTTCCCATCCTCATCCCTGCTATAACATCCTCAGATGAAAAACTCGTTCTGAGATGGGAAACTGAAAGCCACTCCAATTATCAGGCTCTGCATGTACATGCCTGCATTTCAGCATTTCAGCAAAACAGAACACACCATTAAGAGTAAAGTAAAAAAAAGCTCCCTTTCCCTTTCACAGAGGGTGCACCTACTGCTGTATTCTCTGTGACTTAATATGTACAAATTTGGGATTTCTATTATCCATCTCTATGGCCTTTACAGATGCCAGATTTGTTTCGTTACTGCTCATCAAGTCTATTATTCAATAAAGAGTAATAGCTTTATACAATTGAATTATATTCAATATTGTGCATTATGATTGTCTAACAGACCATGAATGTTCCTGCAGACAGATTCTGTAGTTTATTCACCTGCCATAGGAGAAAGGTAGGTATGGAAGATCTATGAGAATGGCCTGTGCATGTACCATGAGCCTTGTTGCCATGACCTGTGGAGAATGAAAATTAGAAGCTGACTCTCAGTCATCCTTTAAATCCTGCTGGCTGGTAAAATCCATTTCTGAATATCTGATTACTGCAGTCTGACTTACAGCCCAACAAATATGTAATTTCTGACTCTTTCTCAAATCTCTTCTTCTGCCATGCCCACCCTTAGTCCTCTAATCCACCTTAACACTGATGCTTTGAATGTTTTCATCAAAATGAAGTTTTAGCAAGATGTGTTTTCTCCTCAGAGTCCTTCTCCCTGCCTCCATATGTATGCTGTAGACCCTATAGTTTAATCTCAGGTAAAAAACTTTGGCCTTACCTATGTACAGAAATAGCTGTGGCTGTGCTTTTAACAAGTACAAGCTATAAACCACACCAGTCCTTGGACTCCAGGAATATACTTCTGCATTTTGGCAGACCAAAACACCATTCAGTACTACTTTGGTCTTGAAATATAAACAGAAAGTTTTGGGTTTGTTCTTACATGGAAAAAATCAACTTCAAAACCCTCTGAATGGAATGACCATCCGGCAGCTGGCTCTGCTTGGCAACAGCAGATTGTCACTGTCCATAAGGAAGCTCCCCTTGTTTCACTGCACAGACACTGCAGTGAGTTGTTGCACGTATATTAGTCCTTCTGCAGTTACCCAGTATCCACTTTTCCCCTCACACTTGGTGGGAGTACTGTTACAGTCCTTTCTGTACTTCCAGTGCCCCACAGGTGAGAAGTGACACAGCTCGGTTTTCAGGGAGTGATGCACTTTTTTGCAGTCCCTGGTAATAGAAAACTCTTTCCTCAGCTGTATCCATGGATGGACACAAACGATGAACTCTGGTGGGAACTGTTTGCTCGCTCCCAGATCACTGCACTATGACTAGGTCTTATTTTCCTGTAATATTTTGGGATCTTTACCTTCACTTGACTGTGAGAATCACCCGATCTGATGTTACAGCTAGGTTTATTAAAAATGTATTATGTTTCACTGGACATATTTGTAACACTGTTTTTCCTCAGTTTTTTGCATTTGTTTTTCATTTGGCTCTAGTTAACTAATATGGCCCAAGCACATTACTGTGTAAAATCAAAAGAACTTTATGAAACATAGCTTTAGACTTGAACTCCAATTGCTTTGGTACCACCTTACAAGCTACAACAAAAGCTTAAATAATTAATTTTTTTCTTATTGGGCTTTACTTCAACAAATAAAGGTTGACTTGCTGGAGTACCAGTCTAACATTGGTCTACTCAACGTTTCAAAGTGCAATGAATCAAAAGGTCATGACAAAAAGTAGTGACTCAAAAGATGACTCCTTGAAGGCTAACAGTGGGAGTGTCTCAAATGGTACAGTATATATCACCAAGATCTCAAAGAATCTGTTTAGGGTCAGCTGACGAGCTGGATTATTACATGCCTCTGAAGTTTGTGGGGTAAGTATTTCTCCAAGTAAAATATAATTTCTAATTTACATTCTTTAATATGGAAAAAAAGTGATATTATGTTTAAGAACTTTAAGGTAAGTATAAGATATGTAAAAAGACAGCATATACAGTAATTTTACCTTGCCTTATCAATATATCTTATACTGCTTGACTGTCAAATACTTTTAGGTGTGCAAAATGTGAATGTTTGCACATCATAGCTTTGAGTAGAAATACATCCTTTTAATTGAAAATCTGGTGTCACATTAAAACTGTTCTCTTAAAATTTTAACAATTATTTTGGGAATAAAGGCATTTCTCTTTTCTCAGTTTCACTCTCTGGAGAACACAGGTGAAGTATGGTATGACAATTCACAGACTGTGGTTCCACAGTCATTAGTGCCAGGTGCCTCTGAGGTCACATAATCAAACATACCTGCTCCACACTATGGGTATGCTGCTATTCCTCCAACTTTAACTGGTTTAGAGATACAAGAACAGCATGCAATTTTCTCAGTCTCAGATTCAAAAGAGAGAATGGCTGCAGGTTTCAATGAATATCCTTAACATGTCACATTCATTTTCATGTACAGGACTTGCACCTGACTGAATGAATGCAGCTCTACACTGTTTCAAGCTGTATTGTCAAAACCCATGTTTATGATATATGTGCTTATGCTTTTTCTCAACAAAAAGCATCAGCAGAGATTAAATGTCTGAAATGGGACTACTGGAAAGAACTCCCATAAATCTATAGTTCAGTATCTAAGCAACTGGCTGGGTTTACAATTCACTCCTGTTATTCCTATAAACTACAGGAAAGTAATCTTCAAATTTGTGGCTGGTTGTACTAAGCAGCAGTAAGAATTGCACTGAGAGTATAATGAAGTGACTACATTTGTTTTAAAGATCTGGAGCATGGTCCAGTGCAGCCACAGAAATGAAATATGAAGTTTGCATTGTCTCAAACATAATTCAGAGTCCTCTGGATGGCCACAGGGAAACTCATCCATTCAGTGTTATATTCATCATATTGAAGCATGGATCTAACTATCTATTTCCTAAAAGGCAAGTACAAGATACTATCTTGATGATGAGCTAGTGCCTTGCTGAAAGAAAACAAACATGCATTCAAAGATAATTGTGTCAGGAGTTACAATATTTCTAATGATCACAGAATCTGTATACTTCATATCATCCATTGGTTCAGCATCACAAAACCAGCAATGAGCTAGCAGTTTCTGGGCTACTGAGAGTACTTTTAAAAACAAGTGCCACATATCACCACTACACAATTATATTTCTCTTTGCTACAGACAACACTGATTTCACAATGGGCTCCATCACTGCAGCAAATGCAGAATTTTCTTTTGATGTATTCAAAGAGCTGAAAGTCCACCATGCCAACAACAACATCTTCTATTCCCCCCTGAGCATCATTGCATCCTTAGCCATGGTTTATCTGGGAGCAAGAGGTAACACTGAGTACCAGATGGAGAAGGTAAGTCGCATAAATGGATACAAACACCTTTTGATCCTGTTCAACACAGCAAGATTATCCATTTACATCTTTTGGACTTTCTCCAGTTGAGGGGAGGAAGTCACATAGTCACATCTGGCACTAGATTCAAACCTGCCTAGAAAAAGAATGGCATTCCAAACTGTGAGGTTTGGATCTCGGGATGAGTTTCACTTACTGTTGCTTTCCCCAGGAAGTGCAAGAATGGCCTTTGGTTTCCATTAAAAAAGAGCAGTCTTGAAGAGTGGTTAAGGCAGGTCTCTTGTTTCATCTTGTATTATCTCACAGGCCTGATTCCTTCCAGGTGTAAAGGACAACCTGTAATATACAAAAGATTACACATTCAGAAAACTAGAGTCACAGTTATAAATAGAATAGATTAAGACTGTAGCTGGTTTATAGACTGAATGCCATTAAATGGAAAAGAAAAGATCATAGTCACAAATTTTCAGTGTGGCATATGCAGTAAAAAAACTGATTTAAAGCTCACATGAAACTTCTCAGTTCATCTATGTGCTAACCAGACCTGCTTAGTCCAAACCTATAGTTTCAACATAAACATCAATGATTCTCAGTAGACTTAATGTATGCAATTTCTTCTACTGATACTTCCAATTGCAGGTTCTTCACTTTGACAAAATTGCAGGACTTGGAGGAACAATTCAGACCAAGGTACAGAAACCTAAGATACATTTATTTCCTTTCACATTTTTCTCCTGAGAATAGACTGTTCTGGCTGTGCTTCAGGTAGGTTCAACACCTTCTCAAACATTTGCTAATGCTCTTAATTTCACAGATGTAAGTAAGAAAAAAAATAAAAGTGTTGCACCAGAAGAAGTGACAGGATAGGATAGGATGCTTTGGGCACCAGGCTACCTTCTTGTGTAGATGAGCATCTGCACACCTGCAAGTGTTGCTGGGGGTCAGCACTTGGAAGGGGCTCAGCACCTGGGGCTAGGGTGCAGCATGCAGACCTGCAGCTGTGACTCCAAAGTAGGGCAGGAAGATGCTTCAGCAGAAAAGAGCCCAGAAGCCTCAAAGACTGGAAAGTAATCACAGTCTTTCAAAAGCTACAGGGATTTTTCCAGACTCTGACTTCCACTGCTACTCCAAGAGCACCATGAGGGTTTCCAGTACCTTGATACCAGCTGTGTGCTTTCCTCTGTGCTAATCTGCTGCCTCTGTAAAGGTAACACAAGCCATTATCTCTGGCCTGTCCTCATCCACTTGGGATCAAGCACAAGGTGGGATTTGTAAAGAACAGAAGACTTTTTTTTTTTTTTTTTTTAAAAAAAAAAAAAAAAGAAAAATAAAGGTAATATCAGCTAGAGCATTTAGTGGCTGGTTAAGAATTTAGGAAGCAGTAGTTCAACAGAATTCTTCTCATAAAATTGAGTACCAGCCATTTTTTATCATTGTGCATTTTTCTTACACTCTCTTAGCCTGTGCCACCTGGAACACTATTCTTGGGACATTAGACAGTTGAACCATTTTTTCACTATATTATGAGACACTTCCTGACTCCCTTGTCATCTAGCACTATTCTCCCATCTGCAGCTTCAGCAGAAAGCTGCCATGAAAATGCAAGCAAAAGCTGGGAACTAGAGGCTCTGTATCTATGACAACTCACCAATTGCAATAATTGACACCTGAATTTTTCTTTTTGTCACCTCACCCATGAGCCATACAGTGTCAGATTCAACACTGAGGTTTTCTGCTTGTTATTACCTAGATTGAGTGTCATCATATGCTATGAATTAATTTGTACATCATTAGTTGCTTATATTGAACATCCCTCCCATGGAGATTTTAGACTGTAGTACATGTTTATCTGCAAATGTCCAAACACTGTGTGTTTTCCCATGTTATTTGTACCTTATAAACAATTTTCTTCCTAGTAAAATAAGCTAACAGCTATCTCTTTTTACCTTGTTATCAACAACTCAGTGTGGCAAGTCTATGAATTTCCACATACTGTTTAAAGAACTTCTCTCTGATATCACTGCACCAAAAGCCAATTATTCACTCCACATTGCCAAGAGACTCTATGCTGAAAAGACATGTCCAATCCTACCGGTGAGTTGTACATTAGAGTGATTTCTTTCTAAACCCTGTACAAACCTGTAATTAAGGGGGATTTGCCAGAGTAGGTGATCTGTTAATTCAGTGGTCCCCACTGGAGTGACTTCCACACCTCTCCCTTTGCCGCAGCCCTGACAATAGCCTGAATGGAAAGGAATTCCAGTTAAAAAGATGGTGCCAATCAAAATGAATGGAGTAATAAACAAAACTATTTAGTAATGTAATTCCCCCCTCCCTGCTTGCTCCCCCAAAGCCTTTTCATTTTAATAGATTGTTTGTTTGTTTGTTTGTTTGTTTTTTCAGGAAATAATTTGACTTCAGCACATTTCACTTGAAAACTTCACTTCAGAAACAAGTTTTGAAAGTGTCAGAATCTTTCATTGGATATTTTCAAAACAAATTATATGAATATTCTAAATCAAATAAACTTTTTATATTTCAAAATAAGGGAAAATGCTTAAAAAAAAAAAAAGTGGACATAATGGTAATAAAATACTCTGAACTGCACCTGAAACAATGTTTTTGGATCAATCTTTCTTCAAGAAAATATTTAAACATTTCTAATATATACTTTTAACTGGTCAAGTAATAAAAATGTCAGATCTGAAAATGTTATGGATCAGAATAATTTTCCTGGTGCAGTTTCAGCAGGTTCTTCCAGGAAGTAAGCAATGAGAACAGCCTAACCATGGCATCGCAATAAAAATCCTTTTAGCCATATTTTATTTCACCTTCATACTGTTTTTTAAAAAATTACTAGTTTGGTGGCTACAATTGCTGTCTTTACAGATCTACTTAAAATGTGTGAAGAAATTGTACAGAACAGGTCTGGAAATGGTCAACTTCAAAACAACATCAGATCAAGCCAGACAGCTCATTAATTCCTGGGTGGAAAATCAGACAAATGGTAAGGTCCGACAAGATTTTGAAATATACTTTCCTCTTGCAACTGTGTTTGAACAAGACTAAACATTAGATGAGAAATTTCCTCCTCCCAACCCCATTAGTGGTATTTCCTGTGGAAAGGGATGACTGTTGCACCTGTGTGACAATGACAGTGTGCTTTAAGCATATCTGGAAAAGGCAGATGTGCCAGGATATGCACACTTTATATGGACACTTTTTGTGTCTGGAGAGCTTAACTCATGCAAGGTTAGTCCCAGCTTCTCTAGAATATTGGCATAATTTTATAAAGACAGGCTGGATGGGTAAGAAGTGGGCTTCCACGGGAGAAAGTAATGCATGCACTAGGATGATGGTGTAAAGGAATGACTTGAGACCTTGTGTATATTTATTGTACTGAGGTGGAAGGAAAACCAAAAGTGAAGTGTGAAAACCAGAAAATCTATATTGCTGCTTCCCTCTCCTGTTCCTTCTTTTATATGTAAATCTTTTTCCAGCACTGGTTAGAAAAATTCATGGGGATGTATACCACACTTGAACCTACCTGTCTTCTTGCAGAAATGTTTGGCCAGGTGCCAGTCATTCTGCATTAAATTTTCCTCATGAACCTGAATACCACATGCAGACCTTTGAAGAAGAGGAAGTCAAGTCAAGCAGCAGCATGTCAGCTGACCTTTAAAATGCAAGACTACTGCTATGAAACTTGCCACTCTCTGCCTTGTTTCTTCCTTAAAGGACAGATCCAAGATATCCTTGAACCAGGCTCTGTTGATCTTGATACTATGCTGGTCCTTGTGAATGCCATTTACTTCAAAGGGATTTGGAGGACAGCATTTAAAGAAGACTCTCAGAAATTTCCCTTCAGCGTGACAAAGGTAGGGGGGCATAGACACAGTTTTTTGCCAGGAAGCCAGGCCGTTGGCTTGCACAGCCAGCAGTCAAGGTGTTACACATACAACATGCTGTGGTCACTGGCCAGGTGATTTGGATGGGCCCCTCACTGACAGGTTTGCAAGAGCCGTGTCTGACCAGAGAACACCAGCAGACAAGAGAGGAAAATGGAGACACAGCTCTTCTTCAAAGGCAACATGCTTGAAAATCGAGTCGTGTCCCTTTCAAAGGGCTTGTACATTTGCCTGCCTGCTTAAAGGAAAAATTGCTCCCCGGTCATGTTGACTCACGCTTCTGTTTTTGCAGCAAGAAAGCAGGCCTGTGCAAATGATGTGTCAGAACAGTACCTTCAAAGTGGCAGCAGTGGCTGCAGAGGAAATAAAGATCCTGGAGCTTCCGTACGCCAGTGGACAGCTGAGCATGTTGGTGCTGTTACCTGATGACGTCTCTGGCCTGGAGCAGGTACGGCCCTGGCAGGGGAAGCAGAAGAGTTACCACTTCAGTGGGACTTGGCTGCCACCAGACCTTTTGCTGCCCATGTACACGCGAGGTGCCCACAGCACGGCTGTGCTGGGCAGGCAGGGGAGCACAAAAGCCCCCCGGGGGCTACCAGGTGCTCAGGCAGAGACTGGCCTCTTAGGAGAGCCCTGAACTCAGTCTAATAAAACAACGGTAAAGGAGTGAAGTGCTGTTGTAGACCTGCACAATAAGATGTATGACTGGGCAGATATTTTTTTTATATTGATAGGTAACTTCACACACACACACGTATAAACTGTTGAGCACATGTTGCTAAAACTGATGAGAATGAAGCATTCTTTGCAGGAATCAGTAACAATTTTTTTTACAAAATCCTCATTGAACATCATAAATGGGCCACTTTCAAAAATTGTTGTGATTATGTCATCATGGAATGAAAACCAAAGTTAGATAAAACATATTCTTGGCAAAATATTCTTGATTTTGAAATGGTGAAACCAATCAAGCTAAACTAACTGATCAATAACACTACATCAGTTAAATCTTCAAAGAGTCTTAATTATAGAGATGGAAAGGAAATGCATGGAAGATATTTGGAAATTACACATCAAACAAAGAAAACAGAAGAGAGTTTGGTCTAATAGGGTGAGCATCAACAGCAGAAAGAATCCCTGAACATACAAGGAGAGAAAATGAGAACAACATAGAAAGTAAAAGAAGACATCAAAAATGCTTTAAGTCAGGTTGAGTCAGTTTTTGCCAGATGCATAAGAACTACTAATAAAAACGGTTTTGTTGTTTAAAGAAAAAAAAGGAGAAAAGTGGAATCAGTATGTAGTGAGGCAAGAATACAAATGTAATCTACTGACAGTGCAAAATTAAATAAAAAGTTTACCTTGGTCTTGAAAGAAAACGAAGCTAAGCAACTGAGTGAATGCAGGATGCTCATAGCAAAGATGAAATAAAAATGGCCAGATACAAGGGAGATGCAAAACTCAAAACCTTAATTTGCTTCGGTCAGGTGGACTGTATTATCTTCATGCAGGATTTCTGAAAGAAATAGAAGAAAACTCAGAATTCCAGTGTCAAACATTTTAAATAATCAAGGTTTTATCAAATTACCTATCTGTGCTAAAGAAAGGGAAAAAGTGATGCAGCTTGCATTATGTAACCCATTATGCTTATTTCTGCAATTTTTTGGAATTATGTTATAAAGTAATTAAAGACATAGAAGAGTTTGCATTTGTTAGGTACTATCAACAGTAGGTAAATTTTCATGGCCTTTTTTTTGCCATCTCCTTCACAATCTGACTAATTTTCTAGGTTGTGAAACTGTTGGTTTGTACCACATGAGACAGAAGATTAGTTGGACAGAAGGGGATGTGTCAGGTGGGTAAGGAACTGAATAAAAAGAGAGTGACACAGACAGTATTGGAGAGGCAAATAATAAACTACAAGAAGGATGTTGATAAGATCCAGTTCAGGAACCATTCTGGTTTGGTTTGTTTTGGTTTGTTTTTTTTTATGATAGCCTTGATTAAAATGAGTGGTAAGAAGAAGCTGTATTTGTGTCCTAGGCATTTCATTCCCTCCCTCTCTTTGCAGCTTGAGAACAAAATCAACTTTGAAAAACTTACAGAGTGGACCAGTCCTAACGTGATGGAAACAAAGAGAGTGAAAGTGTACCTCCCGCGCATGAAGATTGAGGGAAAATATAACCTCACATCTGTTTTAGTGGCCTTGGGTATGACTGACCTGTTCAGTCCTTCGGCCAATCTGTCTGGCATCTCTTCAGCAGAGAACCTGAAGATATCTGAGGCCATCCATGAGGCGTACATGGAAGTCAATGAAGAGGGCTCTGAGATGGCTGGCTCATCTGGTGTGATGGAAGACATCAAATATTCTTCTGAGTTTGAAGAGTTTAGGGCTGACCACCCATTCCTTTTCTTGATCAGACACAATCCAACCAACAGCATCCTCTTCTTTGGTAGATATTGTTCCCCCTGAAGAAAGAGCAAGCCAGAAATAATGCTTGCCTTCCCCTCAGCAACAGAACCCCTTTACCTTTACTGTAATATTGTAGCATAATTGCATCTCTTCAATATTTTCTCCAAGTGGAAAGCCTAATCTAATAAATGCCCATTGCGGAAGCTTTCACTGCAAAGACATAGCTGCAGGTGAGGAAACAGCAGCAAGCAAGTTTACTCCTTTCCCTTCTCATACAGGTTTCAGGATTGCCTGAGCTGAGCAAAGACTGAGCCAACAGAGAATAGAGGCACGCACCAGCCAGGAAGGGGCCAAGTGATTTTCACTCAAGGAACTAGTTGCAGGCATGACTCCAAGTCTTTGGGAGTCCATTATATAGAAATCCATGCACTGTGCTCATCCCATTCCTTGGTAGAATCCTGCTGACAAACCCATGTTGTTGTTCCTGAAACACAGGCTTTGAGATCTCCAGTCTGGAGGAGATGGCTGTGGGTAAGATTCTGTTATGCAGGTTATTAACTGGTGCTTATGTAAATTTAATTTTTTTTTTCACTTAGCTGTTGGGAAATGGTGTACATGTCCACTATCACCAGAGTTGTCCTCTCAGCATGAGTTCCCCACCTAATTCTGAATTTCTTGCAGAGGTTCTCCAAAGTCATGGAGAGTCTCCCTTCCACTTTAGAGAGCACAGAGATCTAACTTCGTGTAGGTACAGTTATGTCTTCTCACACAGTGTAGATTAAAAGCCTGAAACATGGATATACGGATGATCCAGATGATCCAGAACTCAGTGAGAATTAGCATGTAAAGGAGATCTGAATTCTTGTTTGAAACATTGGAAGACACTTTAAAAAAAATTGAGAAAATTTTGATTTTTATGAAAAATCCTGCAAGTGGTTATAAAGAATCTGATTTCTCCATGGGAGTTTTGTGAAAAAACACAGATTTCAAGATATTCCCTGTCTCTGTTGAGCTTGCTTAGCAAGTAAACTTCAATTAGTCATTGGAAAGCCCTCAGGTGAAGTTCAAAACTTGAGTACATTACTCTTCCATGAATGCAGCTGAGCTTCTTTGTTCCTATGCCAGTTCAAGGCTACATCTCTTATTTTTAAGAAATAAATGAGAATCCTAATATTCTATGTCTTTTTCTTCCATTGCCATCTGCAAATATGAATATATTGGCTCAATACTAGGTCCTGTTTTCATTCTAATCATACATCATACATTATTGATTTTGATGCATATAACTGATTTTTTTTGTTGTTCACATAATAAAAGAAAATCACAAATGCTTGTCATGAGAATTACATTCATTTTCTGGACCACAAACCTTTAAAAATATCATTACGTTGGTTGTTGTAAGTAAGATAGGATTTAGTACAAAATCCCATTTTTAGAATGAATAAGGTATGTAGATATGAAGTTTTCTAGGCGTTGATGAAATGCATAAATGCACATATCTAGAATTTGATTCTTCTCTGTATTACAGATTATCAAGAAACAGCCCAATCAAATACTAATTTATTCTTATGCATTTTTCAATACAAATCCAATGGGTATTAAAGAGGCACTGACAATCAGTCTGGTAAATATTTCAAGGAACAGCTATTCCAGCAGCTATGCCATTTTAGATGGTGAAATCATCTGAAAATCATATAACTCAAATGACATAACAAAGAATAAGTAGATTGACAACTATTAGGCAAAGAATTTCCCCACTGAGATATTCTTGTTAATGTCTGGCTATTTCCACATTAGCATATAATGTGGTCTGATAAAAGCAGATCTGTAGAGGAAAGCAGCTGGTGTCACAAGTCTGACATCCACATTACTTGAGTATCATCAGGATATTTGTGATACAGATGCAGCTGTTTTTCAGTGGCAAGACCAGCTATTTTACCAAGTATACTTCAAATTTTTTCTTTAGAAATTAAAGCAGTAATATGAACAGTTCCGAGAGATGCAAAACTTCAACACCTCAAGGTTCAACATAAGCAGGTAATTCATCTCTTGCATTTCTTGTAGCCAGAAGCAGGCACTCCAGTCTGTTAAATTTGAAAGCCCATACACTTAAACAATAAGAAGACTTAAAAAGGGTTACATTTGCAAAGTAGCCTTCCTATGATTATTAAACTGGAAAGTGCTTGAAGTACAAAGATATGCCTCAGTGACCAATGTTGTTTCCTGAATGACAACAAAGGTCTGAATGAAGGAATGGGAAAAAAGCAAGGAGGCAGGAGGCTTATAAGCAAGTACAAAGCTTCCCCTTTCTCAAAAACGGAAAAGAGAAGGCAGCAAAACGTGCAAATTCAGCAATACTGGACCAAACCTGCAACAAAGTAACAATGGCTAGGACCTGACCCTGGCCACCACAGACCAGGTAGGAGGCACAATATTTAAAGGGAAGTGGAACAGTATTCCCCGTGAAGTGGGTGGCAGACCTGGCCGGTGGGATGATGAATGCCCGCTGTGGCCTCTGCACTCTCCAAAACCCTGGGGAGATTTGGGAGAAGCAGCCTTTCCTGTGCCCCAGAAAGACAAGGTCTGTGGTTCAGCCTCTCTGTGCTCTCACTCCCCAAGCAAGCACGCAGTGGGAAGGTGCAGGTGCCCCAGGAGCAAGGCTGGACCCCATGCTCTGCCCGAGCACCTCCACGCTTTCACCTGGCAGGTTTCATTGCCCAGGCATGGTTCTGGTCCTCATGCCAATAGGTAGCTGAGCGTATTTATTTTAAAAAGAAAAAAAAAAAAAAAAAAAAAAAAAAGTGGCCAAAATTTTAACAGTAGTAAAATGGTCTGAAAGTTTTTATTTGAAAAAAGACAAAAATAAATAAACCTTGAAAACCTCTTTGCTGCTACTGGCATTTTTGTTGTAGCCTTACAAAAGCTTCTGGCATTTGTTTTCTGAAAAATTGAGAACCTGTTTCTCTGTCAGACTGCTGTGCATGATCAGGTGGAAGGCTTGGCAGGTCACACATGTGGGGCAAGACAAAGCCTGAAACTTTCTGCACCTTTCAGTGCAACTAACAGAAGCACAGATCGGTGCAAGGGCCTCCCAGTGAGAGGTGACTTTGCTCCCTGGAAAAGTCATGGAAACTTTACATGGAAACAGTGTCCTTCTGTGGGCCTTGCCAGACACTCCCGTTCTGAGTGCCTCATCTACACCACAGTACTTTTTTTGCATATTAATGTGCAATAACGCTTCTGCCTCCGTCTCCCTTGAGATCTTCCTCTACATATAACACAAAATCACAGAACAGCTGAGATTGGAAGTGTCCTCTGTTGACTGTCTATTCCAAGCTCCAGCCTTCAAGCAGGGTCAGCTACAGCAGGTTGCTCGGGACCGTGTTCTGCTGGTTTTAGCTTTTAACTATTTCCAAGGGTGGAGACTCCACGGCTGCTTTGGGCAACGTGGCTTTAAATCCCTCCCCACAAACAAATGTATTTTCTTATGTTTAAATGGAATTTATGCTATTTCAGGTTGTGTCCATTCCCACTTGCTTGTTCACTGGAGAACTGGCTCCATCTTCTTTTCACCTTCCCATCAAGTTATGCACATGGATAAGATGCCCCCCTGCACTTTCTCCTCTTCAGAATAACAAGTCCCATCTCTCTGAGCCTCTCCTCTCATGACAGATGCTTTAATCACTTCTTTGCCTTTGTGGCTCATCTCTGGTCCTGCTCCTGTACATCCACATCTCTTTTATACTGGAAAGCCCAGAGCTGGATGCAGTGCTCCAGCTGTGGTCCTGCCAGCACGGAGAAGAGGTGAAGAATAACCTCCCTTTACCTGCTGGTGATGCTTCTTCTAATGCTGCCCATGATGCTGTTGACTTTGTCACAAGGACACATTGCTGACTCACGGTCAACTTGGTGTCTGCCAGGACCCCCAGTTCTTTTCTGAAAAGCTGACATGACGGCATGGAGCTTTCTGTAGTGACATTTCTCCTTCTCTTCTCTCCTTTTCTGCAGCAGTCTTCTCCTGCAGGTGAGGCAGGAAACATGTCAGGCACATTATTAAGAATCTCAGTATGCTAGTAGTCAAAGGAGAGGAAGGCTTCATGGAACAATGTGTTGAAACAGCGAAGAGATTAGTTTATTCTATTTTGTGCAAAAGAAAAATGCTATTTTTCCAGGGAGCACGTGTGAAGATAACTGGCATGCTGGGCAGCCTTCCCGTGAAAGGTGGGAGGTAAAGTGACAGGCATGTTGACATAAGCAGTGCTAATCACAGGCTGCCATGAACAGTCTTGTCTGTGAGGAAGGACCGTGCTAACTAAGATCTCATATGGCACAGCCAGTCAACTAGTCGTGCCAATGCCAGTGGCCACATGTCCTGCATCGTGTGTATGTCGGGTGTAAGGGCCTTCATTTTCTTCAGGTTGGGGAAGGAACATGGTCCTACAAGACATCTGAGAGGGAAACCATCATTGGTAGCTACAGCACCAAGTTTTGCAATGGCAGCTAACTAAACAATCACTGGCAGTCTCTCTGAGCAAGACAAACACAAAAAAATCAACATGCTCCTTCCTACTGACAAAAGAGCAGCAGCATGGACAAGAACAAAATCTCGAGTTCTGTGTGTGTTGCTGTGATTGGTTGAGAGGCTTTGGTCTGTGAGGTGACCTGGACTTCATATCCTTTTGGAAAGGCCCAAATGTTCAAGAGTCTATTGGTTTAGGGACAGCTTCACAATGAAATGCCTGGCAGAGCAAAGGACATCAGAGCCTTAACTGACCTCTTTCTTGGGGCAAGCATTGTCGAAACAAGGACATGTGGCAAAACACATCCTTTTGTGTTTGTGCTGCTTTACACAGGTGTGCTGAACAGAGAAATCCATTATCTTTTATCCTGGGAGGTGTTTCAGTTACAGGAAGGTTTGCTTAATCTCACTAGACTCCATGACAGATCTAAAGTCACTGAGTAGACTATGCAGTACCTCTTATATTATTATTATTCTGCACTGAAGCCTGATCATGATCAAGATTTTTACTTACTTGTGGAATGATTTTGTTGCTTCTGCAACTTGCTTTACATTAATCATTCATTTGACTGATAGAAAATAGGAATGCTAACAGAAACAGTAACCTGGGTTGTGTGCTAACATGCTCCTGGAGGAGTGTACTACCGCTTCTCAACTGCAAAACAAAAAATTCCTTTAATTAATGAAGATATTCAACTCAGAAGTATTTTGAAAACTGTGATATTGCTAACAACATTAATGCTGTGAATTGTCTGTTATGAAACAACTGTACTGACTCACTGGACATCTTTGTAGCTACTAAGCTACAGGCTGTCTATGGTGGTCCAAATGTGATTCAGGTAGCTGGTGCACAAATGCCAAGGTGGGTCACATATGGTGAGCTGGAGCATACAGCTAGAGAATTTGATGGTCAAGGAAGAAGATTCAAGCCATACTCAGAAGTTAGAAGTGACAGGGTAAAACATATTGGTTAACCCTTTGACTTCTGAGCTGTAAAGCATACAATGGACCATGACCGTGGGTGTTAAAGCCTGTTTGAACAGGAACAAAGCAGTCTTAGACAGGGAAGGCAGAAGGGGCAGCAGCCACAGGTACAGCTTGCATTTTAGGGAGCACTTCCAACCATGTGATTGGAGGTATTCACCATGTGCAGACACATTGACCCATTTGACTTGTCTTTCCACCAGCACAGTGATACCATTTTCAGTTAAATGGCACTCACAATGGTGACCAATTTACATGCTGCTCCTGTGAGAGAACAGTGCATTCTCTATACAGTAGATTTGCAGTGATGGGCCACCAACGTGAGGCAAGGCCTAAAGATCTTTCTTCAAAAGCACTGTTGTTGCACAGCAATGGCTGTAGCAGACCAGTCTGGGCTACACACTGCCATGTAAAGTACTAGTGGTATGTTAGTGCACCAGTCCAGACTGAGCCCTTCATGGTAACTGTTGCACTAGCATCTTCAGGTGAACGGGACTAATGAGGACTGTATTAGGGAGAAAGATATGGATAATTCAGCAGCTTTCCACTAGCATAGACAACTAAGGGTTAAAGAGTCCATCTCTTCTCTCCAGAAGCATAATTTGTTCTAGACAATTTCAGAGGCATTTTGTGTATTGACTTTGGATTCCTGCTTTAAAATCACATGGCATTTAGAAAGGTCAAAGCAGTTTCTTTTACTGTCTGTTCATTCTTTCAATTCAAAGGAATTATGTGACTGCTTTCTCCTTGCTATTGTATATTCTAACTGTCCTGCAGACCATGAATGTTTCTTCAGCTGTTTTTTTCACCTGATGTGCTATGAAGTTACTTGCGAAAGATTTGTAAGAATGGTCTTTGTATGTATAAAATGCACATTTTGAACCTAGCATCTGGTGCTGTTACCTGTGGAAAAGGAAAAGAACAACTCACCTTGAACTACCCTTCAAAATTTTAGTAACGAGTTCAAATCCTTTTCTGGTAGCATCTGACTGAGATCTAAATATCCTGATGCCTGAACTTAAAAAGTAACAGAAGCCTTGTCTTCTGCTCAACCCCTCTTTCCCCAACACACTTTTCTTTAGCTCTGTAATTCTTCTCTATAGAGATGCTCTGAATATTGCTTTTGAAGTTAATTTGTATTCCCACAATATGCTCACTGAAGGTTTTGTTCAACTGCTGTGCTGCGCAGACTGTGACTACATCTGATTTCTCTGAGCTGGATGAAAAACTGTGCTCTGTGAAACACTGTCTGTCGTCTTTTACAATGCAGGCTGTAAGTGGCACTGGGCAAGTTTTGCAGAAGAATCTATTCCAATATTATTAAATTGGGCAACTAACATTTGAAGGGTGTACTCTTTCTCAAGTTCATTGGTAGCAGAAGTTTCTCCATTCCTCAGCAAGAGCTATGGATTCTGGTGGGAAGAAAGACTAGTGATACTGGTAGTCCAGCCAACGACGAGAGAGAAAAGTTGCAGTAAGTATAGACTGGGCATATCATAGCAAGCAGTCCTGTATATGCTGATTGTGTCATTTTTTTATGAGTTCACAGAATGTTGACTCTGAGAGGGATCTGTCCTGCAAGTATTCATTACAGAGGACCAATAAGGAAATTAACTCAAATTTCCTTGAAGACATTCTGCAAGACTGAATTTCTCACTTCTTTTGTTTTATTTTCACAAGCTATGCCACACTATCTGATGCCATAACCAAACCATACTTACTATTCAAGTTCCAATAAATAGATTTTATCATTGTTTTTGCTTCAGCCATTTCAATATGTTCCTTCCTTTTCTGAAATTCATGCTATGATGAATTAATCTTCCATTCTGGAGATATTGGGGTAAAATCCTTTAATTCAGGATTTTTGTTTTCTTTTGAAAGAATGGACTTATTCCAAGTAAAAATGCGTATCTGACATTAAGTTCCATCCATCACTTTGTTTGGTAAACACAGAACAGGCAGTGTGGGGCGTGTCACAAAATTACACAAGATATATTTCAAGAGTTCAGCAAGTCTGCCCCAAGTACAGCTGAGAAGCTGTACTATTACCTTCACAGGTGAAGCTGACAAGGTAAGCATTTCTTTTGATTATGATTTGAGTTCTAATCTGAAACTTTTTAAAAAAATATGTTACAAAGCTTACAAAAAGATTGATGTAAGCTCATGTTTATGACCTTCAACATCAGTTGATGACACAAATGATTAAAGGATGTCTTCTGCAGAAGCCTCATCTCACCTTCATATGTGTGTTCTCTATTATTTTACTGTTTCCTATTCTGCAATGCATAAAGTCAAAGTGTTTGTTTGTATGAACTAAAGCTTTGTTTACTAATTCTTCCACATTGAAAAGCTGGTGATATGACAGCCTTTCTTCCTTCGTCCTCTATCCGTTTATTTTTTCATTTAGAATTAAAAGACAAAATTGAATTTGTTTACATTCCAGAGGATGCAATTAAAGCTCAGTTGCAGAGTTTATGGAAGATATTCTCTAAATGACATTAAGAAATTCTGTATGTTCAGGTGACCCTAGTATACTGCAGCTCTGCGTTATCTTTAACAGTTATGTTTTCTAAGATTTAAAAAAAAAAAAAATTGCTTCATGAATATGTTTCTTCACCAAGACCATAAATGGAGCTTAAAGCCTAAAATATAATAGCTACAAGAACTGGTAAATACTCAAAATATCTGCCTTATATCTACCTTATATAAGTGATTCGATTTAGAGAGAGATTGAGCATCCATTCAAGCAGGGTGCACTGTTGTTCAAATGATCCCACATTAAGAAATGGCTGTCACATGAATGCATTGATTCCATAGGGACTGTGATACATATGACAGAATATACTGGATTTTGTTCTCTAGCAGTCACAGAGGGAAACAAATTAAAGTTTGAACTGCTTGGATAACCCCAAGAGCTAGGGAAAACTCCACCCTAGCAAGGCTCTCTCTGCTAGCGTCAACATATGGGAAGTTATATGTGGTATAAACACTATATTGCTGCACTAGAGTTTACAGTACTGTATATTCTGCTCTGTGTTGTATTCTTGACTAAAAAATCCTTCTCTTCAGTGCTAGATGAAATGCTAGGTGCTGAAACTACAGGGAAAAATTTAAAAGAATGTCAGTAAAAAAAGGCAAAAAAAATACTTAAATATTGAAGGTGTGCAATCTCTGCAAATTAAACACAAGGCTAAACAAGCACTGTCTTATTAAAAGGTGTATTTTATGGAAAAGTTGATAATAAGAATTGAAGAACAGTTTCTAAAAACAGAGTCAACAATTCTTAAAAAGTTGAGTCAACAATGAATGGAATGTACTAGCTACAGAAGCTTGTCATAAACTGGATGAATTGGACAATTCATTTTCAGTCTCCATTGCTGTGCCTTCATTATCCTATTTTAAAAAATTAAGGTAATGATGATAACATTTGAGACCTCTGATAAAGTAGGTGGTGTAAGAACCTAGCATCCATTTCACTAGGCTAAAATTAGAGTAAATTTATCTAAACTTACACTTGCTTCAGACTTGAACACTGTATACTGGAATTAACTGTAGTCTGGATCATGGAGGCCTGATCTCTTAGTTGATCTTAAAAGTGATGTTAAAAACTATAGTGAAGAACCTGGTTTGGAGTCTCAAAAAAAAAATGAAGATTCTGAGAACAAATCTATGTGGTTTTTTTTTCATTAAAGGATGAGAAAAGGCTGTTAATGAGCTTATTTCAAGGCAACTAATATGCTTTGCAACATTTTCAACAGTATGGTATATATGTACAGAGAAGGATATCTCAGGTTTCAAATAAAAGAATCACCAGCCTATGCTAACACTGGTAGCTAACCAGCATTTTGATTGCTCATTAATCCAAAAGCAAGTCTGCCTTTTAAATACACACCACTGGATTCTGTTTGCTGAAATAACTCTGTGCACCAAGTTCAGGGGTTCAAGTGCACTGATTTTCTTGTATTGCAATTAATATATTTCATCATAACAAGTCAAACTCTTTCTGTTTCCTTTAGCCAACACTGATTTGACAATGGGTTCCATCGCTGCAGCAAATGCAGAATTTTGTTTTGATGTATTCAAAGAGCTGAAAGTCCACCATGCCAATGACAACATCTTTTATTCCCCCCTGAGCATCATTTCAGCCTTGGCCATGGTCTATTTGGGAGCAAGAGGTAACACTCAATCTCAGATTGAGAAGGTAAATTACTTACATGGGTGTAAAGTGACCTCTACTTGTGCTTGTTGTTCCTTCTAAGTTACATCACTGAAAAATATTATCCACTGATGAGGTTCTCACCTGTTTTAATGCACAAGAAATAAGCCAAAGTCACGAAATGGAGAACTGGATTGAGTGTTATTTAGAGAAAATACTAAAAAAGATGTGTATATTCACTATAAGGGGCAGTTAGTTTGACTTAGAAAAAAAAAATCAAGGAAAATAACAAAATGGATTATCAGTCAGCAGATTTTGTTATATGATTTTTTTCCTAAAGTCTGACATCTTCCAGAAAATGTGATCAGATTTTTTTTTATTATTATATAAAAAAGACAAATTCCAGGAAGGTAAGAAGACAGAATATTATTAGCAGTACATAATATGTAACTCAGCTAATTTCTAGACATTTACTAGAAAAAATATCACCTCAGTAAAGAGTGATATTTACAGTTTCCAGGAAGGCCAGAGAGGGCATAAACCAGTAGCAAAATCACTTGTAAATTTTTAGTTCATCTATGTTCTCAGTTAGCACTTTTTTCTCTGGCCAACAGCTTTACCTCAAACATCGTGTGTAAATCTCAAATTCACATAATTTTTGGTAATGCTTGTCATTTCTACCACTGGCATTTTCTCTTGAAGGTTCTTCACTTTGATAACGTTACAGGAGTTGAAGATTCTGCTGAATCCCAGGTAGAGAAATAACTTGATCTCCCTTTCTGTCTTATTTTCTCCTCAGAACAAAACTTGAACTGTTCTGTCTCTCCTCCTAGAAGTTTCAAACCCTATCAAAAACTATGGTAATGCTTGCAAACCAAGGAGACCTGTGGAGGGAGGGGAGGAGGGTGTAACTCACCTATTTGTTTAAAAATAGAGAAAGAAGGCAGGTTGCACATCTTGCACCAGGACAAGTGAAGGTGTGGGGCAGGATACTTTGGGCACCAGGGTGTCTTCCTGGGCAAGAGCTGCTGGGGGACAGCATGTGAAAGGGGCTCAGCACCTGAAGCCTGGGTACAGCAGACTTGCAGCTTAGAGTCTCAAAAGCAGGTCAGAGAAGAGCCCAGACATCTCAGTGACAGGAACATAACTGCACTCTTATAACAGCACATTTCAGGGGACTTCTTTTCAGGGGCGGTTCAATGCACCATCACTACAGCACTTGCTGTCCCAAAGGTGACAGCCTTCTATCCATGGGGGAGGACTCCACTGCAGCATGACTCTTAACTGATAGGGACAATCCTTTAGGGTCTTATTTCCTAAATAATAGGAAGCTAATGCAACATATCTTCTTATTTTCATGTCATCACCTCAGTGTGGCACTTCCGAATACATCCACAATTCATTCAAGGATCTTCTCTCTGCTGTCACCGTGCCCAATGCTACGTACTCACTCAAGATTGCTGACAGACTCTATATTGAAAAAACATACCCTGTTCTTACGGTGAGTTATACTGTGACCTGGCTTCAGCAAGATTCCCCATAAAGGTCCCTGCAGCTTTACCCTAGGGAAGAACCACCACCAATAGCACACTGTCTACTGATGAAGAGGTGGTGGTGAGCCATGAGGGAAACTGGTCTGGAATGAGTTTGAACCTTCCTGTGGCTGTTAGGTGGAGGCCAGGCAAAAGTATAACAGCATAAAACATGTCCATGTTGCAAGAGTCATGGGGAGTAATCAAGGTTGCTGTTCATTTGCTAGAAAACGGCTTTTAATGAAAAATGTAACTTAAGGGAAATTAAATACATCTTATGACTTGAAAGCATGAAGACAAACTTGGATTTTTTTCAAAGCCAAATATAAAATCTTCCGAGTGAAAAAAGCTTTGTTTTTGAAACCTAATAATGTAAGAACATAGTATTCAAAATAACAAGAGGGCACAGAGAGAAGGAAACAAACATTGTCTGTCCTTAAAAATGTTTGTTACACTGAAAGTGTTTTTCTAAAATGAAGAAAATATGTCAAAATTTGAACTTACAATCCTATCTGAAAAAAAATGTGCCAGACCTAAATATGTGAAGTAATATTTCTTGTCCGGCTTTAAGATTCAGCTACAGGAAGACAGCTGTGACTGACATGTTCAAACACCGGGGTATAAATTCACTGTTCTTTTAAACCTTTTGCTTCATAAGCTTGCATCTCACATTCATATATTGTCAAGTTCTCATCAGCCTGACAGCTGCAACCCTTCTGCTCATAGGAATACTTAAAGTGTGCAATGAAATTCTACAAAGCAGGGCTGGAAGAAGTTAACTTCAAAACAGCTACAGAGGAAGCAAGACAGCTCATTAATTCCTGGGTGGAAAAAGAAACAAATGGTAAGGACAGAAAAATGGGTAGCAGGTATTTTCCCCTATCTACCATAATCTATATCCTTGTCTTCCTCTCCTCGTAATGCCTAGAAAAAGTGGGTCAAGCAAGAGCAGGTTGCTTCTTGTTATGAAAACAAATCTCCTCAAAGTGGCACCCCCACCTCAATGCCCCTCATTGCAGGCATTTGTGCACACCAGAGGAGATGTATCTTACCACTCTCTGCACTGCTTCTTTCTTAAAGGACAGATCCAAGATTTCCTTGTGTCAGGCTCTGTTGATCTCGATTCTGCACTGGTCCTTGTGAATGCCATTTACTTCAAAGGGATATGGAAGACAGCATTTAAAGAAGAACATACTTGGGAAACACCCTTCAATGTGACAGAGGTAGGGGGGCACACACACAGTTTTTTGCCAGGACAGCTGTTGGCTCACACAGCCAGCAGTCAGGGTGTTACACATAAAACCTGTTGCTGTCACAGGTTGGGTGATTTAGAAGGCTCCCTCACCAGCAGCGCCTGGGCCTAAGGCCAAGGAGTGTTTGCAAGAGCTGTGTCTGACCAGGCTTCCAGGGCACACCAGCAGGCAGGAGACACAGCTCTTCTTCAAAGGCAACATGCTTGAAAATCGAGTCGTATCCCTTTCAAAGGGCTTGTACATTTGCCTGCCTGCTTAAAGGAAAAATCGCTCCCCGGTCACGTTGACTCACGCTTCTGTTTTTGCAGCAAGAAAGCAGGCCTGTGCAAATGATGTGTCAGAACAGTACCTTCAAAGTGGCAGCAGTGGCTGCAGAGGAAATAAAGATCCTGGAGCTTCCGTACGCCAGTGGACAGCTGAGCATGTTGGTGCTGTTACCTGATGACGTCTCTGGCCTGGAGCAGGTATGGCCCTGGCAGGGGAAGCAGAAGAGTTACCACTTCAGTGGGACTTGGCTGCCACCAGACCTTTTGCTGCCCATGTACATGCGAGGTGCCCACAGCACGGCTGTGCTGGGCAGGCAGGGGAGCATAAAAGCCCCCCGGGGGCTACCAGGTGCTCAGGCAGAGACTGGCCTCTTAGGAGAGCCCTGAACTCAGTCTAATAATAAACAACGGTAAAGGAGTGAAGTGCTGTTGTAGCCCTGCAGAATAAGATGTTGCTATATGCACCAGTCTCCCTAAGGTACCAAAACCAGATATACTAGCAGGACTTTTTTTCATTTCAAGTGATTTCAGTCTTCCAAGAGAGCACTCGACAGTTTGCTAAACAATAAAAGTTTATCCAAGGGGAAATAAAAAATGCAAGTGATGAAGAAAGTATTTCAAGAGCTGACTAAAAGGAAAATGGGAAAAGTAGCATTAGAAAGGAACTAAGATGAGGGAATGCGTCAATAAAATATGTTCCAGGAGGAACAGTTTTGGAGACAATTTGATCTGATGTTTTCAAGAACTGTATTTTCACAAAAAAAGCCTTGATCTGATGAAGAAACTTTCAGATGCCAAAGTTTTGGAGAACTTCATCAAGACAGAAGAGATATAGGCCATAGTCAGAAAGAAGCATACAAGATAAATACATTTAAGATTAAGTATCAGTTCTATTGTGTACACAAAGTAATGGAAAAAAGTAGTAACAAGAGGTATAAAAATAGCTGCTAAGGCCATTCCACTCTTGTCTCAGGCATTTAATTCCTTCCCTCTCTTTGCAGCTTGAGAACAGAATCAGCTTTGAAAAACTTACAGAGTGGACCAGTCCTAACGTGATGGAAACAAAGAGAGTGAAAGTGTACCTCCCGCGCATGAAGATTGAGGGAAAATATAACCTCACATCTGTTTTAGTGGCCTTGGGTATGACTGACCTGTTCAGTCCTTCGGCCAATCTGTCTGGCATCTCTTCAGCAGAGAACCTGAAGATATCTGAGGCCATCCATGAGGCGTACATGGAAGTCAATGAAGAGGGCTCTGAGATGGCTGGCTCATCTGGTGTGATGGGAGACATCAAATATTCTTCTGAGTTTGAAGAGTTTAGGGCTGACCACCCATTCCTTTTCTTGATCAGACACAATCCAACAAACTTCATCCTCTTCTTTGGTAGATATTGTTCTCCCTAAGGAGAACAAGAGCTTGAAATAATGCTTGCCTTCCTCTCAGCAACAGACCCCCTTTAATGTAGTATTGTAGTTTAATCTCATCTCTTCAATATTTTCTCCAAGTGGAAAGCCTTCAATATCTAGGGAGATATTCTTGAAGAAGTGTAGGACTTTTCAGATCTTTGGGTTCAGGTATTTCTGCTCAAACAACTTGTGTTCAGGACTTATAACCAGGATTGAATGAGAATTTCAGGAGTTAGTTAAGGATTCCCATCATCATTGAATAACTTGAGAGACAGGGCCAGTGTTTTGATTTTTGTGAGAAATGCTGCCACTGTTTTTGAGAATCTGTTTTCTCTGCCGGATTTCTGTGAAATAAACACAGCTTTCAGAATAATACCATTCCTTTCTTTTGAACTTGCTGGGCAACCATCCTTGAATTGATGCCTGAACAACTTGCAGATGAAATTGTAAACTTCAGCAAAGCATTCTTCTTCCAGGAATAAATTTGGGCTTCTTTGTGATGCATGTACTATGAGGCTGTGTCTCTTGTTCTGAAGGAGCATACAGAAAGTCTACCATTATTGCATAAATCATTATCTCCAAATATGACATCTTCCTGACTAATATAATTTCCCATCTTCATTCCAGTGACATATCATTGATTTTATGAATGTTAATTGTTGGTTCTTCTGTTTGTTCTAATAAAAGCATTTCAAACTAAACATATCATTACCTATTCTGGGTTACTGTACCACACAACCTGAAACATATGATATAGTGAGTAGCCATTATTGACAGAAGTGGTTTAGATTAAGATTTAGATCCTATTTTTAAAATGAGAATATATCGATATATGAAGTCACTAAACAGCTGAAGTTGTTTTGTTTTGTTTTTTAATTTTTGAGCTTAAGCAAGGTAAACCCTGCAGCTCCTATTCTTACCTTGAGATTATCTCCATATGGCATATCAAATAACTAATATTTTTTAATTTGCTATTGTATTTCCAGATAGTCTTAAAAGATTTCCTCTATGTGTCCTCAGTAAATATATCAAGATGATACCAAAGAGATATAACTTCAGAAATATGAGAAGAGTGTTTGTCTTAAAAGGTGGACTGCTTTAGCTCTCTAATAGCCACAACAATCATATAAGGAAATCTTTCTTACTGCCTCTTGATGTAATAATCCTCTAGAGGTATTATTTCCTATTTCACAGTCTTTGGAGAAAAGGCTCTTTAAGTTACAGTTTGTTCAATTAAAAATACTATTAGTGTTAATTGTTGAGTTAAAGAATCTTCCTTCTGCTGGGATACACATGCAGAACTGGGAATTACAGTATCAGTACTTTAAAAATGCTTTAAAAAGGAGACACATGGCAGTATTGAGAGCTGTCTCAACCATTTGCAAAGTCAGTGTTAAATATGACTTGAAATGATGATGCTGACAGCAGGGAAACACATTTTCATAGCTGCTATGAAGACTATGGGACAACTGCAAATACTGGTCTTCCCAATACAGTCATAAAGGATTAGCTACAGTTAACACAAGTGTTCAAGCAAAAAAGACATTTCAAGGTTTACCATATAAATTATGTTCTGCTTTCCTTATAGCCAAAAGCAGTCAACAGTTTTGCTGCAACTAAAAAAAAATTAAAAAAGGGGAAGATTTGTGAAATATTGTCCCAAGGAGCAGAGTGTGTAAGGCTATTAATCAATTATAAAACTATTCTCAAACTGGAATAAGCATGTCTGTCACTGCACTTTGTAGGTACAATGACAATAAAACTATCAACATTTATTATGGAAGTATTTATTACCTAACATAAAGAAAAAAAATAGCTATTCTCTTAATTACTTTTTTGCTTGATGATTATTTTAAAACAAAGAAATTGAGAAAATCAGGCTGAAATGGTAAGTGGCTTCCTAAAACTACACACAAGAGGTTTTCAAGGCACAGAGTCCACCTAATGTCCCCACAGTGAAACAGAACTATTTGACTCGTTATAATCTGGGCCATTAGGTGTCACTAGGGATACGAAGTGATGTCTACCAGTCCTCTGAAAGACATCTGTTGAAAACTAGGTTTGTGAGTTTAATGTAGGCTCCAATTTTGTTCTTAATTTTTGTGCAAGCAGATAATTCTGACCGATATACTGAAAATATAGACCACTGGCACTGTGCTTGGAACCCTGTAATTTTTTAAGAAAAAGACAGAAAATTTTTTGGTGAAAGTTCAGAGGTATTTTAAGATGTCTGTGTCCTGAATGAAAAAATAATATCACAGTCAAATACCATGGAAGGGATAGAGCTCTTTTGTTTATGAGGAGAAAATGTCCTCCGTAGAGGCTAAAATGAGAGGTAAAAGTGCAGATTCAGCAAAGTTGAGTAAGATCTACACCTCTGTATCAATGGCTGGGCCCAGAACTGTGCCCTGGCATTGCTGACCTGGGCCAGCAGGACCTGCTGTGAAGGTGCTGCCGTGGCAAATGAGGCTGCTGCAGCCCCCATGGGAAGCAACTCTGCAAAGAGCAGCAGGGAGGGTGATACAAAGGGATGAGGGAAGAGCAGCCGAGCTGCTTCCGAGCTCTGAAGGCCAGCAAGAGTTTAAAAATATGATTCCTAGTTCCTATGAAGTCTAGGTATTTTCCAATAAACCTTTTTATTCTCTGGCAGCATGTCTGAAGTTGGTATGTCAATAAATTGCCATCTGTCCACCTGCTACACTCCATTTTCACTATGTGCTGTGTTGTTTTGGATACACAGTACTGCTAGGAGTCTGTGGATCAGAAACAGCTACATACAATCACATTCTTTGTAATGCTGCATAGGCAGCATTAGAAGTGCTCTGCAGTCTAAGTGTGCCCTTCCTTCTCATGTCATTTGGGGAAGGGTTGGAGCTGACATATCTTCCCTGCCATTTGGGAAATATAATTGTCTGAGACCATTCCACACTTCTCTGCACATTTGACTTGCAAGAAAGGCCCACCTCACCTTCTCCTGAGCAAACCAAATCCATGTCTGAAGGCTCAAGACTTTGCAGACAGTATGCCCTAATTGTAGTCACCAGAGGATGAGCACTCAGAGAACCTCCTGGACTCTAGGGGAAAAGCTGTCCTGGGCTCCAAAATGATATTTGAGAAGGCACAGCATGCTGAACCAAGCTGAAAGCTACATATCCACTTGGAAGGCTTTGACACAGAGCAGCAGTTCAGTTTTCTGTTTCTTGTGGCTAGTGAGCTATGATTCTTCAATCTGGAAAAGAGACAGCAGAGAGGGGATTGTCAAGGAGTGGCAAGAGTGAGGCTGCTAGGCAAGAGAAGGGGCAGCAAGGCAGCAGGTGACAGCAAGGCCAGGAGGGCAGGGGCCTCCCTGGTAAGGAGTTCAGTGTTATAGTTCCCAATACTACCACTACAGTCCAGTGATTCCTGAACAAGTCTGTAGCAATGAGGTAGGTCAAATATCAAGCCTGGAGGTTATGTCCACATGTCAGGGCCTGCAGTGGTTCAAACCTGAAGACTGTTGTCCATCAAGGAGTTAGTAACCCACATAAAAACTGACCTGATCAGTCACAGGCGTGAGCTGTGCTGTGTTACATTGTGCTACACATACCTCTTGACCTCCAGGTCCATATGTACTGAACATATCACACGGCTGAGGGACAAACTTTGCCTGCAAATCATAATGGAGGAGCTTGTAGATGGTCCTGAACTGGCACCTGCTGATGATGCTGCTGGCACATCCTTGTTTTTATCTTGAAGTGAAGAAGCATGTTTCTATATAAATAGTTTTCTTCAACAGTAAATAGGATAATCGGTGTTTTATTTCTAAGAACATACCTATAAAAGTTGTAAAGATCACATCACCAGTGAACCTCTGCATGCATGGGATATGCACAGTGTACTGTGCCTTGAATAAGGATCCATCCAATGCTTCACATATTGGGGTTCCCGCCATCTGAAGGGACATGAAATTATCTATGTTACCTCCTTCTTCCCTCTCATGTTATTTCCATCTAATTGCATTTTAATCAGTTTCTTACTCATGTCCAAAATGAACACTTGAAGTGGTGCATTACATGGTCCATCTTCATGAGGTTCATAGCCAGGCACAGGCATTCAAGGTAGCAAGGACCACAATCAAGAGACTCGGTTTAAATTCTCTCAACTGAGGGGGATGTAGACCCCCATGGAGGCATCTCACAACTTTATCACAAACAGCACTCTGATTCAAGGCTGGGCAGTTGCTTCAGATGTGCCTGAGCCCAGGCAGCCAAACTCCTAGGAGAGGGATTATGTTCTCAAGATCAGGGGTTTCTGAAGTCCTGGGTGATACGGAGACAAGGACAGTGATTGACTATTCAGTATCTCTTCTGACATAGGAACTTAAAGAAATTAAAAGAAGTTAGTAGAAAGCAGTTAAAATGCCCCACAGAGGTAGCTAACAACAAGCAGGTAGCTGAATGATGGACCTCGTGGTCAAAGGATGCTGGAGATGATAAAATTTTACATTATTTTTAAAGGGAGGCTGGACAAAACCATGGAAGAGAAATCCATTGAGAGCTAATAAATATATAGAAAATACTACCAGCTATTGAAGTCCCAGGACTGAAAACAGCCAATGTTAGGAACCTGATGCCATGACCAACCTCAGCAGGAGCTTTCCCCCACACCATCTGTGTGTGGTCCTAGAAGCCTTTATTGGGCACTAGAATAATTTTGGTACTAGAGGTGGTCTTTGTGAGAGGAGGACATGAACTTCCCTCAGCCAGTCACAGCCAGTTGCAGCTGGCCCTGTAATGAATTAAAAGAACTCATTGTATGCCGAATCTCCAGTCAGAGGAGCATATGGCACCTCTGCTCAAGCATAATTAAGAAAAGGTGACAGGAGAAATGTGGGAGTTGTGTTTAGAGAAACAAAACAGAGGATATAGGTGGAAGGAGATTTTATGGAGAGTACAGCTGAAGGCACACTCTTGGGAGGAGGTGCTCCATGCCAGAGGAAGCACCTCTGAGGGACTGCAGCCACAGGCAACCCAGAGGGACCGCAGCCCGCAGGTGGCTGACACTGGAGAAAGGACATCCCTGTGGAACTGCAGCCCATGGAATAGACTATAGTACAGGAAAAAAGTGAGTAGCAACAGCTGGCAGACAGAAATAGTTATACATCAACCCAAATCTCTTGCACTGACTGCTGCTTCACCAAACGGACTGTGAAGCAGTGAGTGTAACAAGAAAGATGAAACTAGGAAGTGGAGGAGGACAGTTTTGGGACTGAAGTTGAATGCAGGGAAGTGGGATGAAAGGTCTGTGTCTATTTCATAGGTTTTTATAGTGCTTTTTGTCAATACCTGAATCAACAACAAAAATTTTATGTTAATCACCAAGAAATTATGTGAAACTCCCCAAGTCAAGACTGTTGCCCACAACAGAAGCCCATTTCAGCTGAGCCTTGGCACTTCAGTCCTTGGCTGGAGTACACTGTAGGTGCTTGTCTCCAGACTTGCCTCCTGATGGACCTCAGACACAAACCTTGTAGCATTTGCCTCCAGGCTCATCTCTTTTGCTTAAAAGTGGCTGACAGGGCTCCGAGTGCACTAGTAAGCTTTTAGTGGTCCTGACCAGACACGCATGGAGCCTCTACCTATGAGCCCAGGAGCTCTAAGCTTCAGT